TTCTTTACTCCTCTTGTCCCCATTCGTACGCGATTGGTCCTCAACTCCCACAGCCTCCACCAATCACACGCCACCACGCCACTGACTCTTCTGCTTCATCTTAAAGACACGTGTCTCCAAGTCTTGTCCGCGTCCTACTCCAAAAATTACAAAAACCATATATATAGCTTCACAGCACACAAATTTCTTTTTCTGTACAGTTGTGCAAGCTTAAATTAGAGGTCATGTTACCATTCTCTCTCTGTTGGGTTTTTTTTTTCCTTTGATTATTTAAAAGGTGCGAATGACGTCGGTGATTGAATAATTTATAGTGATAGATCATAAAGAAATCGTTTGAAGACTTTATGGGTTTTAATATATATGAATAATGATTTAAATTAGACCAAGTCGTGTAGATTATGTAAATTTGCTTTAATTAAAAACTTTTGTCAATTGTGGCATGAATTTAAGATTAATTAGTGTTCCTTTAATTTGTTTGTTTGTTTGTTAATTTTGATTTGTCTTTATCAATTGGCATGAGACAAATGGGGGAGGGATTGGAGTGTGAAAGAGAAATTTCAGGTGCATGAGACAAGGGTTTTAATAGAGGGAGTGGAAGGCAGTTTTTGTTAATAGTTTTTGGGATCGAGGAGGAAGCATATATATATGTCCAAAACGCGACGTTGGATGGTCAAAACGACATTAAATTAGTTGTCCGTATAAATAGGGGAAGGGCGCAGCCAATAGGATGAGTGACAGAGCAACACGTGGCCCCAACTGGCCACTTAAGCTTAATTACTGCTAACACCTGGCTCATTTCATTTCCTTCACCTCCAACTACCCGTCCTTTCACTTCACTTCCCTCGGGCAGGCCTTCTATTAGGTCGGGTTTATTGGCGGGCCCCATCCAGTTATCCACAACTAACTCATGGTTATGTAATTCTTGTCACGTTTTGTGTTTATCTTGTTACTTTTAATGTTGTATATAAAATTTTGTTTTCGCACCTATTTGACGTGGGTAGCAATCGACACTTATTTCTATTTAAGAAGTGATGAGTTCAAATCTTTCAAATATTAAGAAAAATAACACGGTTACTRTATTGTTTAAAATTATCTGAAAAGTTATAATTTCAGAGATTTGATAGAATATTATTTAATGATTAGGTGGAACTAACTTTAATCAAAATTGATAGTATAAATATTAAACTAGCTTAATAAATGATAGATAAAGATACAAAATTAGAGCATATTAAAGACCATAAGAAACAATAATAATAACTATGAATATAATTACCGATTGACTTGATGATAAAGGTAACCAGTTCTTAATTTTGTACTTGTTATAGCTTGGTCAGTTTGTTGCTTAATTGGTATGCAAAATCTAAAGGCAAGCATTTGGACAGGGGTTGGCGATATTGCTGATACAAGCGAAAAGTCCATCGCTGATGCCTCCTCCATGCGATCACGGCGCGGTGTGCCAAGAAGCGAGCGGCGGGAGAGCAGCGATGCTGTTCGTGGGGCTATATCTGGTGGCATTGGGCGTCGGGGGCATAAAGGGGTCGCTGCCGTCGCATGGGGCGGAGCAGTTTGATGACAGTACCCCACAGGGCAGGAAAAAGAGATCCACTTTCTTCAACTACTTCGTCTTCTGCCTCTCATGTGGTGGCCTGATTGCAGTCACATTGGTGGTGTGGCTTGAAGACAACAAGGGGTGGGAGTGGGGCTTTGGCATTGCAATGCTCAGCATTTTTTTGTCCATCCTTGTATTCTTCGCAGGCTCCCCTCTTTACCGCAACAAAGTACCTAATGGAAGTCCATTCACAACAATTAGCAAGGTAAAACAAACATATATATATATATATATATATATATATATATATATATATATAAACACCATAAAAATGTAGTTAAGAGTTGGGATTAATTTCTAGACAGAGTGAAGTTAACTGAATCAGCTTTTTGGTGTTTTAACTGAGGCAGGTTTTAGTGGCTGCGATATTCGGTTGCTGCATTAGCACGAATTCACGAAACTTGATAGCAAGTATGGCCATGAGCCCGGCTCTTGATGGTAAGGAAGTTAAACAGAATGCAAAAGGGAGAGATTCAACAGATTTGGCGAATGAACCCTCGGGGAGTCTCAAGTTCCTGAACAATGCAGTTCTGAACAAGCCGTTCCATCCGGCATTGGAGTGTACGGTTCAGGAAGTAGAAGAAGTCAAGATTGTGTTGAAGATTCTACCTATATTTGCTTGCACCATCATTCTCAACTGCTGTGTTGCTCAGCTCTCCACGTTTTCGGTCGAACAAGCATCGACAATGGACACCAAACTGGGTTCCTTTAAAGTTCCGCCTGCATCTCTTCCCATTTTTCCTATTCTCTTCATCATGTTACTTGCCCCGGTATACGATCACATAATTATCCCATTTTCTCGAAGAATAACTAAAACCGAAATGGGTATCACTCATCTCCAGAGGATAGGAGTTGGGTTAATATTTTCTATTGGAGCCATGGCAGTAGCAGCAGCTGTCGAGACTAAGCGCAAGAGAGTAGCCACCGACAACGGTCTACTCGACTCTGCTCAACCATTGCCCATCTCCTTCCTTTGGATCGCCATCCAGTACTTGTTCCTCGGATCAGCAGATCTTTTTTCCTTGGCTGGATCATTAGAGTTTTTCTTCACAGAGGCACCTGCAAGCATGAGATCTTTGGCCACATCTCTGTCCTGGGCTTCTCTAGCTATGGGTTACTACCTTAGCTCAGTGGTCGTGTCGATAGTCAACAACGTCACGGGTAACTCCGACCACCGTCCATGGTTATCTGGAAGAAACATAAACCATTATCACCTCGACAGATTCTACTGGTTGATGTGTGTGCTCAGCGGACTAAATTTTGTGCACTATCTCTTTTGGGCAATGCAGTACAAGTACAGACCAAAATCGCAACAATAGGTGAAACAACTCAGAAACACAGATATATTTATGATGCAATATATACTTACACAGTTCCACACATTTAATCAAACAGGTTGAAATTCCCACCCCACTTCCAGAGGAGAGAAACTTGTGAAACTCTGGAAATGTTCTCATCTTTCAGCTGGCATGAGATGGAATGGAGGGGGAGGGTAAATTTTTTCGTCCTGGGGGAGCAGGTAGATGTGGCAACTGGCATGTGAAATTTCTTGTATCAGTGAATTTCTATGATAGGTGGGAGAGTAAAGTATTCACCAAGGCATCTTTTTAACAAGTTCTTATTTTTGGCTTGCAGTTAACCAATCCTTTTATTTGTGATGATATTGCCTCATACTAGATTTCCATGTCATTTACAAACCTGAAGTGACAGCTGATAAATGACAATCAACTATTGTAATAATGGGATGAGTGGATAACATACTTGGGGGGCCACATAATTAAATATCCTAAATATGAAGTATTTGAACAGGAATGACAACATGAAATTTTATCAGAGCTCATGAACCTGCAACAGTGTTAAGCAAGAAATTACGAAATCTGGGTGATAGAGGAATGGGGAAGAACAAGTTACTGAAAAATCACCTGTCTTGCCACATCGAATTGATTTATCAATGATTCGGCAAATGGATCTGTTGTAAAGCTTACAATCACAGTCTGCCCCTTCAGGACCCCTCGAGCTGATCCCTCAAAAGCCGTATAAATTAGAGAAACTTATGAACCGAAATTGGGTTACGTTCACCTTTAACTTAATCGAACCAAGCTCAAGGAAATATTTAATTTCATTCAGTCTACGAATCTACAACAATTTCAAGTTCATCTTGCAAGGCTTCATCAAAGGACAGGCAAACCATTTGGACTACAAGGATAAGTTATTAGAATGTCCAGTGAGTTCAATACATTTCATCACACGAGTAATAGCCAAATTATAAAACAACCCCTAACATATTCAAAATCACAATGCTAGTCCAGGCGTCGAACCAAATATGGTTTCCAGTCACATAAATCATAGGCACGTGATCCACTGTTTTAACTTAAATCGAAACACTTTCCATTCCATATATTAAAAAATATGAGCTTTACAATAACGTTTAAGAAATCCTTGTGTCTTGTCTTATATACCTCTTCAAAAGATGTAATTACAAAGAAATTTTAGTATTACTATGCCAAACACGGAGACGGGAGAGATCGTAATGACTAGTCCTCCTGTGAACAGCCGACGCTCATTGACAAGCTCCTCACGGCCACCTTGACTGCACCCACAGTGCTAAGCTGCCTCCTCTTAGGATTCACCCCATGTTCGTCCAGCATTTTATCATCTTCATCCATCTGAACACCCACAAAATATGCTACCTGCAAACAACACCGTATACTCGGTAAGACAATGGCAACAACTGTTTTAGTGGATTCATTAACAAAATGTCAAAAAATAACACTAGTGAGTTTTACACTTGTTATATACTCGGGCAAAAAAGCATTAATGGAAGCGAGTTTTGATAACTATTCTCTGGATTCTTTATTGTTCCTTCCAAAGTCACAGTTTGTAAAATAGTGATTTCAAGTGCAGCATTTTTATAATAACTTTAATCATTATTAATCATCCAAAACAGCGGTTAAAATATTTTTGAAAATTAAAACAGAAATCTTTTTCACAATAGCTCCCAAGCAGAACCAATCCCTGAATGTGCAGCTAAAGGCTAAAGGCCCCAGTATAAAAGTGCTCGTCTAAGAAGATTGATAGGGCACAACGAACTAACTAGGGTAGGAAGGGAATGAATTGTAGAAAAAAGTTGCCTCTATTCTTAAGAAAAAACGTACATAAAAGTTCTTTAAACTCTCACATTGACTTGGACACTTTTGCCATTATCCCACTTGATAAAGGGGTCTTCATCCAGTTGTGCTAAATTAACTTTTTAATTCAATTCGGAAAATGTATGGACATGAGTAGAACTAGAGAATCCCAAAATTTTGATCAATCTCATAAACTGTAGAAAGCAACAATACCTTTCCAGAAGCGTTACGAACAGGGGATATGTGTAGATGATTCCAAAATGAGCTCTTATTTTTCCTGTGATACAGCAGTTAAAAGTTTTGTTTTGATCAAAATACTACAAATTATGCATTCGTATATAAGGTTGTAGTTAAGTATCAACCTGTAATTTAAAATCCGCACGGTACACGCTTGCTCAGATTGAATACTTTCCTTTATCTGGTGAAGAAAATCAGATTCATAACAATTATTTCCATAAACTCCTCCCAAAACCTCCATTAAACTTGTCATGAATTCTGGTAAAAAATGTTCATTGAATCAGGAGGAGGAGATTAAATACCTTAAATAGGGATGAAGTATCTGTGTCAACTCCACTTAAGAATCTACAGTTGCGCCCAAGCACTTCACATCTAGTATAACCTATAGTAGGCAAGAAAAATTGCAACGCACTGTTCAAACTTTCAGTATCAAAATGTTAAATACGATATAGTTGCATCAATTTCAAGCACCTGTTACTTTCAAAAACTCATCACTCGCATAAACTATAGGCATGTCGGGTAAGTGTGGATCAGTTCTGCAAAACAACAGAGATGTGCCATGAAACCAAAAGCGAACAGGAGAACAGGCTCGCTTATAAAGCATAAGATTTCAGCAGAAAGAAAAGTAAATAGTCTGGAAAAACTCACAATACAAAGCTCTGTTTGATTCTATTAAGAGACGTATTCAAGGATGAACAAATAATGCCCACCCCAGGCACGCTGCATCTCCTTTCGCACACCAATCTGCCAGTTACCTCACTGTGATGAGTTAGGACAGATAAGATGTTACAAATAGCAATTGCAGCTCTTTGCTTCTCATCATCACATGCCTCACATGGTTCTTCAATCCCTACTCCTATGAGATATCCACTCAGTAGAAAAACTCAATGGCCAATATTATAACCAAAGATGAAAACAAAAAAATAACAACTAACGGAAACGTGACTAAAACTCTGAATGAAGAATGGAAGCGGACCATATACTTGTATTTTTGCCTCAAAATGAATGTAGAATCTGTGTTAAATAAATATAATATTACTTAATGACAACAGGAGAGAGGGAAGAAGAAGGCGAATAAGTGATATAGACAGCAGTTCAAGCATTACTTTCAGAAAACACAGGACCAAGTTCTTCAATGTGATTGAAACTCGTAAACTGATTTGGGGGGAAAAAACAAGAAGAAGAAGAAGAAGAAGAAATGAACGAAATTAGCTCCAAAATCTGAACATGAGCAAACAGTAGATTATTTGATGCATAAAGCATAATTTAGATACAGACCTCTACTATCTGAATCCGGTTGTGAATCTCTGTTCAGTAGACGACCTAATTCGGAGATAGAATCAGACAACAACTCCCGGCGGCAGGACCCTAAAAGACTTTTGCAAGCTCTAAATTCATTCTCGCCTGGAATGCCTTCAATTCTTACGAACCCACATCTAGGCTTCCTCGACTTCATCCAAATCGGCACCTGAACACCCACAAAATTAATGATCCGCCCATCTTCCTTGCTGAAAACGGGGCTCATTTGGAAAAAGACCCAATAGGGTGTCCCATCTTTGCGATAATTTAGCAAGTTAATTTGAATGGCCTTCTCTTCCCGAACTGCCTCGCGAATTTGCATTACTGAACTCCTGCTAGTTTTCGGGCCCTGAAACATCCTCCCATTTTTGCCAATCACCTCGTCTTCGGAATATCCAGTCATCTTCAAGAATCCGCGGCTCACGAACACAATTGGGTGACCAGCTATAGTGGGATCAGTGATTGTAAAATTATCCGGCAAATCGTTAAGAGCTTCACGAACCCAGATGGAATAACGAGTATTAAGCGATTGTTGAATTAAACGCAGTTGCGATTCCATTCTCCTGGCTCTTTATCTCGGTGAACTAAATCTCGTTTCTGCCTCGGTACTCTGATTAGTCCCAATCCCATGTGGCACTCCAACCGCAAATTCAGTTTCTCGAAGACGCTTTGAACTGCGATATACAAAAGCAAGGAGGAAAAGAAACCCTAAAATGGATCTTTATCAACTCAGGGATTCCGATAAATTCAGTCGCTGGGGGAGAGAGTACACTTAGCAACTACGAGTGGGAAATATCGCGTGGATTGTGATGAACAATAATTTCTCAGAACTACCCATGCTTCGTTGGGATGATGAAACAGAAAGGAAGGATATTCAGAAATTGCCCATCAAGCCGTCGCGATTGGGAAATGAAAAATATCAAAAAATAGCAATGAAGAAAAGGAAAGCAGAAGCAGCGCTGTTCACAAGATTAAATTGGCGCCATCACATTATTTCTGGTTTATGCTTCTCCCTCCTCGGGCCACTAAAAGATTAAGATTAAAGAATGATTGACCCATTGTTTCTTATCATTTTCTGATAGTAATACCAATTAGACAACAGAAATGGAGTTTACCATTTCCTCGGTTGGTTCGCGCAGATTTACCGAGAAACAGAGGATTGGGGAGGGTCCGGTCCGACCACCGGAGTCCCAATCATAGTGACAGTGGGTGTCCACGTAGATGGGGAACAAGGTTGTTGAATAGAGAAATCATTCGCTTTCAATTAAAACAAGAACAAGAAGCAAGAAGCAAGCAAGGGCAAAAGAGAGCGAGCCGGCGTTGGATCTTATCCAAATCCTCGTCACCTCCCGGTGTCCGACTCTGACTTTGAAATTTCTTCTAGTTTCCCCCAACGCCCGAAACCGGATGGTTGTCGGGTGAGCTGCGTGGCTCAATACCAGACAATATGTGGACGTCCAGTTTCGAAATTGTGAAAATATATATACATGTTAATAATTGACGTACACTGAAATGACATACACTAAAATTCGCTGAAACCCGTAAACTTCAGTAATAATTGACATAAATTTAAGGAGTACTTGCAAATATGACCAAAAAATTTTAGTAAAATAAGCAAAATAACAACTGCATTTAATTTTTTAAAATATAGTATTTTTTTCAAAAAAAAAAATGGAAGTCGAATTATAAAATTACAAATTCACCATTTAATATATATGATATATATCTGTAATATATCTGATCATTGATATATCTCTAATATACTACTGATATAATAATGATATACAATTGATTTACTTATGATATAACCATGATATCTACTCAACTTCTAACATGTCTTACCACTGATATATTTATGATAATCATTGATTTACCACGTTAATACATTACATATATATGTGATATATGTTTGATATGTCTCTAATTTACCATTAATATAAAAATGATATACCACTGATATAACTATGGTATCTGCTGATATAACTTCTTATATGATTATATGATTTACCATTAATATAACACTGATATATACTTAATATGCTTCTAATTTACCTCTTATATACCTCTGATATAACCATTATTCTACTAATATAACTTGATATATGTGTGTTGATATCATACTATTATATCCAATATTTTTTTCAGATGAGAACAATAGTGCAAAATTTTTTATTTTTTATTTTTGAAATATAAAGTTATTATATAAAAGGTTTATGTGGATCATGCACGTCCAAAAAGACAAGTTAAAATTTTGATGTACTTTATAAATTTAAATAGTTGATATCCCTTATATTTAGTATCTAATTAATATTAATATTAAATAAATAGTAGTGATATAGTAATCAACATTAATGATAATATTAGTATATTAATAAACAAATTGAAATGATAAATTATAATTTAAACAACTGATATACCACTAAAAATTAAATATTTGATATACCTTGTATCTAGTATATCAATTGCAAATATATTTAGTATATCATAAATTAGAAGTACATCAGATATATATATTATATGTATAATACGTATATTTGATGTATATCGGTGGTATATCTGCTAATGTATATCATGGTATATCTGATACTGTATATTAGGGGTATATCGAATACATATCGGAAGTATATCAGAGTTACGTAGGATGTACATTAGATATAGATTTGATGTATATCATATACAAATTTACATAAGATGTATATCAGATATAGATTTAAAGTAATGTATATCATATCAGATATAAATTAGATGTATATCAGATACATGTTAGATACCATAAGAGTAACATTGAAATAATAAAAATTTTAAAAATAAAAATTCAAATATTTTGCTATATTTGAAATTTTAAAAAATGATAAGCTATTCTCGTTTTGACAATTTTATAATCAATATAATATTTATTATTATTTTAATCATATATAGGCAAAAAAAAATTTCCCCTTTTTTCGTGTAGCAGGCATAAGTTTAAAAAATGAAAGCCATTACTTTTCACAGCATTTTTGTAAATGTTGTAGCTCTATATGTTTTCAAAACCACGATTCCTCATTCTTTTTTTTTTTTCTCTCAAAATTGATTTTTACCTTTGTCCTCTCTTTGCTGTTGTAGCGAAGAAATGCTCATTCCTTCCCATATGAGTCTCTCTAGTTTATTTGTCGCACTCTTCATCTGCTATATTATTCGACTTTTTCTTAGTTCGAAGGGTAAGATGATCTACACTAAAACTGTATATTTAACAAAAATCATTGCTTTTTAATCTAGAGGTAGATATAGATATAGATTACTACTAGTTAAGACATATATATCCTATCAAAATGTCGAAAGTTTAAAACTTCACCCTCAGCATATTAACTAATAAAAATAGTATTGGTGTAAAAATCAATTAAAACCCCTAAACTATATTCAACTCTTTGTTATAGTTTTTGTTTGAAAATTATTAGTAAAGCATTCTCACATGTGTGTAGATTTCTACTCGTGCAAGATTAACGAAACATTAAACGAAAATGTAGGAAGCAAGTGGGTTATAGCGCATCATTATAATTGAAAGAAAAACATAGGAAAAAGAGAAGATGAAGACTTGTTAATGATCCCCTAACAAAATTCATATGATACATACGAGCTCCAATTTCCAAAACAAGTTGTTAATTAGAGAAGCGGCCCGTAAATCTTAAATTTTTTAGTTTAGTAGTAATTTGATCATATTTGAAATGGTATTGATGAAATTATCAATATAATGTCAATGTCGATAAAAATTTCTAAATATATATATATATATATATATATATATATATATAAACAAGAATTTCACTCTTTCAACATAACTTTACAATTCTTATTATTAACATTTATTCACATTAGAAATACCTTTTATATTTCATGGATTTTATGATATAATGAAAATTTTGATTAACCATTTATGGTGATACACATATAATAATATGTCTATTGAGATTTAATACCTTCTCAAGTTAGATCGTATTTTACGTACATCAACAATCAATATCATGTATAGATATTTGTACTAATTAAGATGCTGAAGTTGGCAATAGTTGAGGATTACTTTTTTCCTTTTTTAATATCGGACTCGAATCTAAATCTTGGATGAGAGACCTCTTACTATTCTACAGATATTGTGATTGATTGATGTTCCCTTTCCACTGTATATATGTGTGAACTAAAATAACTCATATGCTTAATTAAAGGACAATACTTCCAATACTTTTTCTTTTCTTTTATTTTTTCTTTTTGATGATAAACCCTACTGATTGGTTAATGACCAAGGAGAGGAGGAAAACGTGCTTCTTTTTTTTTTTCAGATTTCGAATATTTTTTTTAGTATAATAGGATTTGAATCTCCAGAAAAGAAGATATTTTTATGAAGAATTGATGGACACTGTTTTGGCCAATTATTTTGTACGTGACATGATAATTTGCATGATATTGAATATAACCAATCAATTCTTTTCCAAAAATAAATAAATAAATAAATAAATCTCATCAACTTCTTTTTGGTACTTATAGAGAGTATTAGAAATTGTTTGTATGGTTAGTCAGTTTGCTATGATTTCGTTAGATGGTTAATTATTCTGTTATTTTTAATTTTGCATACATAATTCTATATTAGTAAGGAGTAGACCAGGGAAGCAAATATATCAAAATATTTGAGTTACGTTAATGCACTCGAAAAAACCATTTGACACTAAAGTGAGTGGTTAGCTGGCTTGTTTCAAGAGAGTCTGATTTCAAATAGCCAGATAAGAAAGGATCGGGTACAGTCAGACAATCATCCTCGTTTTGTCTTTTCTGATAGGCTTCATCAAGCGAAGGTTTAAAACATTTCTTATTTAACAAGTGACTTTGACTGACGTCAACTCCAACTATCGTCTAAAGAGAGAGCTTCGAATCTCTTTCCGTCATTCCAGCAACTCCTCTTAATTGGAAAGTGATTCCGTCTACATACTAGACTAAGAATGGGCACTTCAAGCAAAGTAGACTAAAAATATAAGTCTTCAATAATATTAGGGGGTGAAATCAAGATTCAAAAGGAAAGAGCTTTGTACTCGAGGGTGAGAAACCCATGAAATAGGTTGTCCCTAAAGCAGAAGTGAAATAAGGAAGGAGTATTCAAGATGCTTTAACCGTTGAACTATTCTCGGGAAATATAATCTATCAACTACTATCCTAAAAACATTATAATACCAATGATCACAAACCTAATGTTTACTTTTTATTAGATTACAAGTCTAGTCCTTAAACTTGGTCAATTAACTTTAAAAATTGCCAAATATGTTTTTTTTAATAAAATGTCAAATAGATTTATAAACTTTCAATTTTGTGCAAATAATAGATCCCTAAATTTTGAAAACGTTTAATAGATTCTTAAACTTGTTAACTCCCTAATCTATTTAATATTTTTTCAATCAATGGAGCTATTAGCAAAAATTAGATGTTTATTTAATAGAAYACCAAACTTCAATTTTATGTTTGACGAGGCCGTAAATTTTAAAAACGTCAAAAGGTCAATGATCATTGAACACATCGTTGAAAGTCCATGGACATACTAGATCTAAAATTAAAAGTCTAGAAAACATAATAGATATATATTTTTTTAAATTCAAAGATTTATTATATATTATATACTTTTTAAAGTTCAGCATCTTAGTGTTAGCAGCATATCTAAGTTTTTAGTGTAACTTTCGGAAAACAATTTGGGCCCAAAGAAGCCCTGAACAAGTAAAGCCCAGCCCATATTAAGTGGCCCATTTGGCATTCTAGTGAGAGAGTACGTTAGGCCCGGGCACCGATTCGCTTTTGCTCGGTGCTCCGCCATCCTCCACTTCTCAAACAGAGCTCCTCCGGCTCGATCTCCGATCAGGTAAACCCGAGGACCGCTTGTTGTTATCTTTTAATTTTCTCATTTTGTTCGCCTTACGAGCTTAATGATTGACAAATGGCATGATCGATAAATTTCAATTTCCAACTACGAGTTTACCGGACGCATCTTGATTTTGCAGATACTCTGTAGATGCGATAATGAATTTTCTACTCAGATCTACTCAGACCGTGGCTGCAGAGCGGCCAACTGTTCAAGAAACTCCTCCTCCGGTTGCTTATTACGCGCCAAAGCCTGCGGTAACTTTGGAGGGTCTGATTTCTGAAGATCCATTTCCAGAATATTCTGTAGTCGACGATAATGACGAGGAGGCTGATGCATCTGGCAGCGAAAACGGAAGCATTTCTGGTCATAAGGAGAAAAGCGGCGGTGCTGCTGCAGTGAAGCACTCTGATGTTTCTGAGGAAGAAGGGTGGATTACCATTCCGTGCAGTGCGTCCTTGCTATAACAGTCCTCTAATGTCTGATTTTGATAATCGGTTAATGTGTTATCATACATGGATGTATAGCCCTGCTCAAACATTAGGATAGAGTTGCACGAAATGGTGATCATTTTCCTTTCGTGTGCAATATAACATACCATATAGTGTATATGCACTATGCTTTATATTGATAATGGACTCGAATCTCTAGCTTTCGTTTCTGATGAAGGCGCCTAGTTAAATTTGTCTGCATTTGTTTCTTTGTCACCATCATCTTCTTCTTCTTTTTACCATGACGCATCATAAAATTGGATTTCTACCTTAGGTCAGAGTACGCATTTTTTTGAAAGCTAAATGTGAACTTTTGGTTCACCACTGAAACACGAGAGTTTTACGTTCACTTATCAACTCCCTGTTCTTTTGTTTGAAGTTTTAAGTTCTCGTTTCCTAAGGCAGAACTAGCTTGGGAATTTTATAGCATAAATCTTACAGTTTCTTATCACAAGTCACGAGACTGTTTACAATCTTGTTACAAAGACCAAATTACATAAGCTGTTAACGATCTTGGGTGGTTACATGCTTGGTTCTATCTTACATACAACAATATACACCTGACATTCTTTCAAGACATGTATATTTAGTGATCTTGACTCCTGAGTAGTATAATGGTCAATGTGGCTAGATTCTTTATGTTACATGTACATGCTCCCCTTTCCCTTTTGTTTTCTGAAGGAAATCTAATACTTGATGTTCTTTTCTAGAGGACCTTCCTTGTGATTGGAAAAATGCATCAGATGTACATTCGTTACGCACTCTGGACAGATCTTTTGTTTTCCCAGGTACATGTACTTTTTTAATATCTTGTTTATTTTGCTTTTCATACATGTGCATCTTCGATGAGAGAACTGCTGTGTTATCTGTATGGTACTTTAACGTTGCCCTTTATGCAGGCGAACAGGTATGTATCTTGGCATGCTTATCTGCCTATAAACAGGATACAGAAACCATAACTCCATTTAAAGTCGCAGCAGTTATGAGTAAAAATGGAAAATGGCAAAGTCCTGAAAAACAAAATGGAAACATGGATGATGGAACTCATTCCACGAATGGGGAAGGACATACCAGTCCGGATCAAAGTACAGATCAGAATGGTGAAAATCCATCAAGTGAAAAGATTGATCCATCAGAGGATGTTTCTGCCAGCGAATACCTTCTCAGAATGGAAGATCACAGACGGCAAACAGAAACACTGTTACAACGATTTGAGAACTCTCACTTTTTTGTAAGAATTGCAGAGTCTAGTAATCCCCTTTGGTCAAAGAAAAGATCTCCTGACAAGTATAGTGACTGTGAGATGGTGGGTCAAGATATTTCGGGTAATGGAACTCAAAACACTGTTGTATCTAGCATAAATGCGGTCATTGATCAAGGAAATTTTGATTCCAATGTCTCTGGTGGCGTAGCAAGAGGTACCTTTAAGTGCTGCTCTCTTTCTGATGGAAGCATAGTGGTATGTATTACAAAGATTCTGGAGTCTCGTGCATACTTGCAGAAACTTTTACTTCTAAGTCTCAAGGGTTGTGTCCTTTTTCTTGAGCCTACACCCTGCACTAGTAGGTTCCAAGAAGTATTGGTACCTTCATTTTGCAATACATTGTCCACTTTAAGCACGATTCAATCAGTACACAAATTTATTAAACTAGCTTTTGATCCCAAAGAAAATAATTTGCTATATTGTTCATAGAGATGTTAGGCTTAGTTGCTCCATGATGCAGCCTGTTCAACATACAAATACATAAGAGGAGCTCCGGTCCATAAAAACTGCATAGTCTGCATTTTACAGCTATCATGAACTATTTTTCTGCTGTGTCATTGGATTGATTTATGTTCTAATTCAGGATAAGTACTTCGTTGTTCCCTATTTATTTCATGTTAAGCATAAGTAGCAAGTGGTTTCGATCCAAATTTGCTGCCACATTTATTTTGTTTCATATAACTATTCCTTCCGTCAGAATAATGGTTTGTGGTTTATCTGATATCATCATACTCTTTCTCAGAGTCCTTAATGCGTGGCTATATAAGTTCCCAAGTTTTGATATTAGTATCAATTTCAATACTCTTTCTAACTACTGATTCTCATTCTGTCTTCTTGTGGGAAGGATGCAGGTGCTTTTACGTGTGAATGTCGGTGTTGACATATTGAGAGATCCTGTATTGGAAATTCTTCAATTTGAGAAATACCAAGAGCGGAAATTGTCATTTGAGAATCAGGACGACTTAGGTTACTCACATCTGGATCCATGTGGAGAATTGTTGAAATGGTTGCTTCCTCTAGATAACACCATTCCTCCTCTTGCCCGCCCTCTATCTCCTCCCCGTTTGATTTCCAATGCAGGAATTGGTGGAGCGTCTCAGAAGTCTAACGTTTCCACTTCATCCGGTTCTCAGCTCTTCTCCTTTGGCCATTTTAGAAGCTACTCCATGTCCGCGATACCTCACAATTCTGCACCACCTACTGCACCTGTGAAAGCTGCAAGTTCAAAGCCAAAATTTGAACTTGAAAACTGGGATCAGTTCTCTACTCAAAAGTCCTCAAAGAGTAAAAAAAATGGGGGCCGTAACCTTTTATCTTTCCGAGGTGTCTCTTTGGAGCAAGAAAGATTTTCTGTCTGTTGTGGACTAGAAGGAATTCATATTCCAGGAAGAAGATGGAGGAGAAAACTTGAAATTGTTCAGCCTGTCGAAATCCAGTCTTTTTCTGCTGATTGTAATACAGATGATCTTTTATGTGTTCAAATAAAGGTTTGATGCCACGAAATCTTTTTTAATGAAGTTATGATCAGTGCATGATATTGTTATATATGTCATTCATATTATGCTTCTCAAGTATCCCCTTGAATGTTACTTGTGCATATTTACAAAGTTACATTCGTTGTTTTGCAGAATGTGTCTCCCGCTCATATACCAGATATCATAATATATATTGATGCTATAACAATTGTTTTTGAAGAGGCGTCAAAGGATGGACTCCCTTCATCATTACCAATTGCTTGCATAGAAGTTGGAAATGAACACAGTTTACCAAATTTAGCCCTCAGGTTGTCGTCCACTCTAAATAGATTGTATTCATTAAACTTCTGGTGTTTCAGTTATCTTACTGGTTGTTGTGCATTTGCCGTAACTAACATGTGGGTGGTTGCATATTTTAAGGTTGCTTTCTGTATTTGTGTGTCTGATGGGAGGCACTAAATTAGTACTATAGTCATCAGTGAGGAATAACTTTTACAGTGTGTCATTTCGGTATTGACTAGAATATTATACAAGATCGAGAGGTTTTGATAGCATTAGGTGATAATTATGACCTTCGAATGTATCAGATAATTTCTAGTGAATCATTTTGGTATAGGAAAATATTTACATTGGTGTCTCTCTTTTCATTTTTATATGGAAATTACAAAAATACATTCCTTTGATCTTATGTGGAGCTTCTACATGGCAGGAGAAACGAAGAGCATTCTTTTATCCTCAAACCAGCAACTTCTATGTGGAGGAACATAAAGGCTTGTGGAGAGAGAAATTCCCAATCATCCCGATTGCAGACTGGATATGCAACTTCAAGTTTGTCCCTTACATCCAAAAGTATTGATCAATATGCAATTATGGTAACTTGCCGGTGCAACTATACTGGTATATTTACTGATCTTTGTTATTGTGATTCATCTTAATGAGTTCGACTGGGGTTATTTCGCCTTTTTCTGTTTTTGAATTTTCAGATTCTCTTAACAGAAACACATCCCTTCCATTGATATATTGGAAAAAAATACATCGCATAAGTATTACGATTACCCACCCCTAGGAACTTACGAAAAACAACTCCAATTTAAGTTAACTGCGGGTGGAGTATAGTCACAAAAAGAATTGGCATGAGGAGCACCAAATCAAGAACTGAACTTAGCATTTTCAAGTAGCTTCTCCTAATTCCTGCATTTCTCATTAAAGATCCTTTGATTTCTCTTCAACCATAATTCTCAAAGGATTGCTATTACCTTGTTGGACCATAATGTCTTTGCATTTCTTCTAAAGCTATTTCCATTAAGCATATGCTCCACATTTTCTATCTCTTGCCAAGTTACTCAAACCCAACTGGGATTAAAACAAAGAATGTTAGTATACCATGGATTAAGGCTGATGGGCAATTGGAAGAAGATAGGTATCTGGCTTTTTATTTCAGCAATCTCTAAACCATCATAATTCGGTCAGTTGTTGCCACTTATGCCAAAGCAAGTACTTAAATTATTTCTTATATTTTTCTGAATTTATACAGAGTCCAGATTGTTTTTCAAGCAACCAACAAGTTGGCGACCTCGAATTTCAAGGGATCTTATGGTCTCTGTGGCATTATCAGGAGAGCCCCCTAAACCCAATGGAGTTGTTTCTCAGCTTCCCGTTCAGGTTTATCAACTCGAGCATGAAATAATGTCAACAATCCCCTCCCTCCTAACATACACATTCTCACACACCTGCACCAATTTCTCATGCTGTCCAATCAGCAGTCATCTGAAAGGGTTTAAATTTCAGGTTTTAACACTTCAGGCATCAAACTTAACATCTGAAGATCTAACCATGACAGTTCTTGCTCCAGCTTCCAATACTTCTCCATCTGTGATTTCATTGAATTCCTCACCATCATCACCTATGAGTCCATACGTGGTTTTAAATGAAGTTGTAGGAAGAGTAGGCAGTGAGAAGTATAGTACATCATTGGAAAGACCGAGATCGATTGCTGTTGTATCTGAGAATCAGAAACATAATGTTGATTTTGGAGGCCGGACAGTTTCTTTTAGAGAACAATCTTCTCCCATATCAGATATCATCCCAAGTGCTGGTTTAGGTTGCTCGCATTTGTGGCTCCAGAGTAGAGTTCCATTAGGGTAATAAATAGTTCTTTTATTCACTGTATGAATAGTTTTTCGAACATTCATTGCTATCTTGGTTTTTGCAGATGTATTCCTTCTCAATCTACAGCTACCATCAAACTTGAGCTACTTCCCTTGACTGATGGCATAATTACTCTTGACACGTTACAGATTGATGTCAAGGAAAAAGGTAACGATTGCTATTCTTCTTCTTCTCTGCATTCTTCTATTATGTACCTACTGTTAGAAGAAGCTGAATGATCTTACACCTCAGCATAACTTATTAGTCTATATTTGCTGCCATCATTAATTGTTACCGAGTCTGGAAAAAATCTTCTGATATGTACTGGCATTGGAGGTTTCTGATGAATCCTTCTGGTTTCCGTTGAAACTTCAGTTTCAATATTCGTTCTTCTAGTTCTAACAATCCTATCTAGGTGCATTTTCTTAACGGGAACGAGAATGATAACTCTTATTCCCTTTCTCATTTATATTGTTTATTTAATAAATTAAAAGATAAAAAATAATTCTTAATTTGTCACTAAAATTGAGAATCATTTATTCCTGAAAAAAAAAAAATCATTTCTCTTTCTTCATCTCCTCCGTAAAAGTATAGGTAGTCATTCTCTCATTTCCCATTTTGATAGGTCCCCATTTTTCGTTTCCTCTCTCTATTTTCTGTTGGTTTTACACCTATTCAAATCTTATATCTATCCCCAACATTAGGGAACAATATCTTAATTTTGATTGAACACGCTATCATTAATTTATTCTCATTCTATCATTTCTCATGTCGATTTGATTTTTAGATTCTTTCTCATTTTCATCAACTTCTAATGATTTTTTTGAAAAATATAAAATTAAAAATATATAACTCAACTAGTTAAAGTATATATTTTCGACTAAAATATTGGAGTTTTGAATCTCTACCGAAATATATATATATATCTCAATGGAGAAATGCCTTTAATTATTTTGATGTCGCAGGTGTTACATATATCCCCGAGCACTCACTGAAAATAAATGCGACTTCCAGCATTTCCACTGGGATTATTTAAAGATGGTTCCTAGTATTTCACATTTTATCTCGAGCTGTGGAAGGGTCCATCCAAGGCCCGCCCTTTTGGCCATCCTGAATCAGATTTTTTTATGGTTTCTAGGCCAATCAACGACCATTCGCGCGTTTGCCTTCTCTTTGAGTGTGATTGATATACCCATATCCATTTGTCTTGGATATATAGCTTTTAGTCGTGTGTTGTAAGTTGTAGCCCTCCTCTTGGAAATGGAATCGATGTACATTCTGGAATGTCAAAATATATACCTTTTTTTTTACTTTTATTATTTGATTGTGCTTCTAGGTTACTGCACCTAGAAAATAGTGGAGAAACTGGGAATCACATTAGATTGTAAGTTTCTATTTTTTACACCTACTAAAACCGAAGACCTTTTCAGATATTCTGTTCCTGATTCCAAATATGATGCTTAAGAACACTGCCATTCTGTCACTTGTGAGCTAATAATAATGCCTCTTTTTCTTCCTTTTCTTCGAGACGTTATGGTGCCTGTGGCGGCCTGCCCAACAGGACGTTTCAGCGCAGACCAATCATCCAGAATAGACCACACAGGATTAAGCCTACTCCAATTCAATGGACAGGTTTTATTATCAATGATGAAATTGCTGAAGGTGTTCTTGATATTTCCTTGGTATTATTTGTGACTTTAATGAAGATCCCTCTTTAAAATCAACAAAATACTAAAAAGTGTAGTTCGTAGAGCAAGAGGTATTGATGTTTACTGTTTGAAATAGGTCTAAATCACTAAAAAGAATGGTTGATATAGTGTTACTCCTTTGGTCCCCTTGCTATGGTGGTGAAATTTCTCCGTCATAGGCTTCCAAAGTTTTGAAGGGCGTCATGGTCTAGTTCTTGTCTACACTTCTTGACTTTTATATCTAATACACATATGCTATTGGTCTAGTAAAATAAAGTACAGAACAGATTATTCCTTATATATGTAAAAAGAGAGTGTGGGAAACAACTCACAGGTATGGATTGCAATACTATCAAAACCAAAAGGATGGATGGAATCATTTCAACTTAAACAGTGACATCATTTCAAACCACACTTCTATTCATCGTATGATCAAATTGAGAATCTTTGTTCGGACATATTAGAATACATCGTGTCTCACCAAATAAAAAGCTCGCTCGGTTCAAACGGAGTAGGTATGTTCTATTAGAAAGATGCATCAAACCTCATCAGTAGATTTTTCTCAAAAGTTTCATTCATTTTTATTTTTGAGTCTTAGTTTATTCGACCTTATTGGTTGTAGTTCAATCCTTAATCCTTCACTTTATGAATAGAGACGAAAACCAGATATTTGAGGTATACATTTCTTAAAAGTGATGCAAAAACTCAATTGTTCTACCTCTTCTTTTGTCGTCAATTTTGATTTGATCGTTGGAGTCATTTCGACAAGTATCAATATTATGGTGGGTTGAACTATGTCAACAATTTTGTTATCTTATAGGTTAACAAACATCTTGCATGTATCAGAAATGACATTTTGAAATTCACTTATTCAAAGAATCAAAACTAAAAGTTCTTAATTTATTGGAAAGTATTATTTCTGAAATCAAAACAATAATTATTTAAAAAAAAAACAAATAATTCGAAGGAAAAAGATATAAACATGTTTGTATTGAAGTGTGACAGTCATAATACTCTCCTTCGAATATCAAGATCCAACTTGTTTGTAATTAAATTAGACCTTATAGTATTTGATTTATTCAACTAAGTTTCCTTAATTCCGATTAGTGATAGAAGTTTTTCATCATAGTTCAGATAACGTTTATGTTAAAAATTGACCCCTACACAAGAATTTGCTTCTTAATTTAAACAAATTAAAAATAGAATAAAAATAATCTTCATCTAAACAAAATTGGTCCCTTTTTTGGGTGCATCATAAAGTTATGAACTAATATATATAGATATATATATCATTAAGTCATGGGTGTGTCATTTTCAGAGAGTTATTTTAATAAACTTTGATAAAAGTAATTTATTACATTGAAATAATGTTGCTTAATTAATTAAAAAAATATATTAGTTTTAACGAATATATTAAAATTAGCATGACGAAAGTCAAGCTATGTGCTGCACGTTTATGCTACAAAAGTCAATCATTTATTCCTTGATCTTGCAAGTAAGCCTTTTTTTTTCTTTAAATTGTTTGATATTTTGAATTTATTACCATACTACATACTTCAAATAAGTAGTGTTAAATGAACTAATTTATCAATTTATAGGTAATTATAAATAATTGTGTTTTTAGCTAAATTTAGAATACAAAAAATTCTAACGTAATTTATTAAAGTAACTTCAACAAGAAAAAATCCACTCAAAATTTAGAGATATTTATAACTTCTTAGAGAACAAATTTACACAATAAGTTTCTTAATTGTATATTTCAAGTAACCAAAAACGCTTTTCTTATTATTATGGCTTAGAATACTCATAAAAATAAAATACTTATATTTAATATCAAAATAAATAATCTTTCAGAAAGACATTCACAAATCCACAATTTATTAAACAATTGTATCTTTGAAATATTATTTTATGGATAAATTAATTATAAAAAGAAGAAACAGATTTTTCTAATTGTTGAACTCAACTTCCTTTTAATTTTTTTGTGTACACAACTTTTTAATTAAGTATTAAAAAAATCACCTGAGCACATTGATATTCTCATGTGATTATTGCTTTAATCCTCTAGAATTTATGAAGAAGAATAATTATTTCCCTTACTTTCTATTTGCTTTTAATTCAACGGAAATTTGTTTTCCTCAACATTTTTATGGACATTACAAAACATGTTTTAATCATTAAATCCAAAGTAAAAAAGAAAACTGGTTTCAACCCTGATTTGTCGTATTTTATGTAAATAAATAATTACATTAATTAGTAAAATGAGTCAAATCTATTGAAAATAAATAAAATTTATAAAACATCTATTTTGAAAATAATGAAAATTCATGTCCAAATCACAATATCCTTTGTGTCCAATTTGATTACGTTATCAACAAATTTACAACAATAAAAAGCTTGAAATGATTGGGGTTGAGGCTCTATTATTTATAATTTATATATAGGAGGGGGTGGCTTAGGGGTAGAATCGGTCTTTCAGAGTAATTATTATTTATTTTATTTTTTTACTTGGAAAAAGAATTAAACAATGAACAATTTTTGTAATAATTCGAAAAAATAGAGGGAAAATTGAAAAGAGGTGCGTGCAATGCACCGAATAATTTGACGTGCGCATTCAAATCCGCCCACGAAGGCAGACACGTCAACATCCCTGTGGGCCATGCTCAAATTCTCTCTCATGCCCGAACTACCCGGATTTCCCACTTTCTATCTGCCCGAAATGTTCGGTCCGTTCTGATTCGGAGCCCCGGACCACGGTCAGCTGACACGACCGGCAGTTCGGTCCCTGCCCGTTTCCCCGGGCAGCTACGCTAGCTTTTTGCCCAGTCTTTGATTCCATTGGAAAATGGAAAAAAAGAAAGGAAAAAATTAATAAAGAAAGAAAGAAAATAAAGGAAAAGGAAGAGAGAGAATTGATATTTGGGAAAATAATTTTTTTTCTCTCTTCATCTTTTAATTATTTTTTTTCCCTGCATAAAATTTATAACTCCACCAGCTTAAAACTAATCTGGTTGTTCTTGTTTTGAAGCCCATCTCGGGGATTATCTGAATCTTTAGGCGCAGAAATTTCTAAGCTGAGATGGGACTGCGAGTATCATTGTCCTTGGATGATGGAGGAGATTTCTGTATGAGCTCATTCTAGTTGATCAGATTTTGGCCTTTTGAAGGGCTTCTCTTGGAATTCATCTCTTTTTATGCGATCTGGTAATCTTCCTCTCAACTGGGTCTCAACTGGTTCTCCCCCTCTTTTTTGCCCTAAGTGAAACGTGGTAAATTTGAGTGATCTTTCCGTAGGTTTCACGTGCGCTGTGTCGAGGCGAAGTTAACTACCTGGGCTTGAAGTGGCGACTGAGGAGAGGACGGAGAGGCACTGGATGGTGTTTCGGATTCGCGGTGTTTTATGATTATCTGTTTCTTTTGGGTACTTGAGCTATGGAGGTAATCGCTGAAGATGGGAAAGTTGAGTCTCGGGAAGTGAGCGAATCGAAGGGGAAGAAGAAGCAGAAGAACAACAAAGAACGAGTTGAAACTGTGGAAGAGGAGACTGGTTGTTGGATTGCTCTAAGGATTTTTGGCAGCTGCATTTCTTCAAGATCCAAAGTTGATAGTTCGATCAGTGGGACTAGTATTAACTATGGTAATGACTTATATACTCGAAAGATCATTTTTTTTCTCTGGTCATCTTCTCTGTAGTTCGCTTACTGGCTTAAAACTTAGATTTCTTGCTTTCTGGGACTTCAGACCTGTTATTTCATCTGTTGCCCATGTTCTGTAAGATCCTCGTTTTGATTGCTGTAATTTGTGAACATTTTCTGAAGTTAGCATTCATTCTTTTCTCAAAATTACCCTAGTAAATGGCGTCGGTGTGTATTGTTTTTAATAAGTTGATTAAAAACAATAATAGCGTACTTGAGATCATTGAACAATGTGAGTTCTTAATGCTGCATCTTGCATTTGTGTTATTTAACCCTATCTATCAACAATAGTTAATGATGATTAAGTTAATAAAAGTTGGGAAGCCAGCCCAGAGCTTAAAGTCATGGGGGATTTATTGCTTCAAACCAGAAAATGGATCCTGAAGCTTTGCTGAGCATATTGTGAACTTATCCGGTAAAGCTTCTGTAGAAAGCAGGAGTGATTGTCTTGAAGTCAACCTTTTGTCTTCCAAACCATCTCCTGTATTTATGTAAACCCTTGTTGCAAAATGCGGATTGGTGACAGCACACAAGTTGAAAATTCAATACTACATTAGTACATTGGACACTGCAGCTAAATTAAGGTGGAAAGTTGTATCTGTTTCCAGTCCTGTCGTTTTGTCAAAGATATGGTGAATGAGGAATGAGGAATCTACTAATTATTTCTTGAGTAATGGAATGTCTAAAATATAACTGCACATATAGACTCAGAAACATTTTATTGGAGGTTTACAGTTCAGTGTTGAGCTTAAAGTATAAATTTTATTGAGTATTCTATATACCAATTGAGAATGACATTTGGACTGTACTGTTCATGTACCGAATCATCTAAATTTTATTTCTTCCTGTATTTTCTTATTTCTAATGCTAATTCATTGTCTTCCTCACGTGTAGACTTGTCTGTAGACTGTGACTATGTGTTGCATGATACTATGTGCTCTCATTTCCCTGCCAAAATATGGGGTTGTACTAATTTAGACCGATGTTTTAAGTTTGGAACAAAAGTGCATCCTACATGGTTCCTGTTTATCTTCATTTTCTAACCTTTTTTTCTCTCTGAGTTTTCCTAATTTATCCTCATTTTTGTGTCAGCTGAAAGTAAGTCAACGGCTGATACAAGTAGAGACCAACCAACACCTCGAGATATATCGTCTACAAACACAAGTATGAGTAATGCAGAGAGTAATTCATCCACTTCCAAACTAGAAGAGGAACTTAAAATTTCTCCTCATCTACGGAAATTTTCATTCAACGATCTTAAGTTGGCCACAAGGAACTTCAGACCCGAGAGTCTTCTTGGCGAGGGTGGTTTTGGTTGTGTTTTTAAGGGTTGGGTTGAAGAAAATGGCACTGCTCCAGTTAAACCTGGCACAGGACTTACTGTTGCTGTCAAAACCCTCAACCATGATGGTCTGCAGGGCCATAAAGAGTGGATGGTTTGAAGCTTCTCTGATCTATTGTCTTCTTTTATGGGATATTTAATTATGACATTTTCTATCCTGTATGGATGTGATAAAAAGTTGTTTGGACTTTAGGAAGATTTTCCATATATTCCATTTCTAATTGATGAGTTATGTTATGTGGCAGGCTGAAGTTAATTTTCTTAGTGACCTCAAACATCCTAACTTGGTTAAACTTATTGGTTACTGCAATGAAGATGACCAAAGACTGCTCGTATATGAGTTCATGCCTAGAGGAAGCCTGGAGAATCATCTTTTCCGGAGTATGTTGTTTCCTTTTTCACAATTAAATTGTCCACTTCCATTCATCCTGTACTTTTTTGGGCAAATGGGGGGAAAAAAAATAGGAGGGCATGATTTATGATCTGGTGTGTTGACGATTATTTAATTAGCTTAGTCTCTATAAATTGTTTTGGTATATCTTTTAATCTCAACTTACCTTACATAGAACCAAATAAAAATTATTCTGTTTGCACATATATATGCCTTTTCTTTTCACATGTAAAAATCTACATCATGTGCAGGATCTCTACCTCTTCCATGGTCTATTAGGATGAAAATTGCCCTAGGTGCTGCCAAGGGTCTTGCTTTTCTTCACGAGGAAGCAAAAAGGCCTGTGATATATCGTGATTTTAAAACATCCAACATCCTATTAGATGCTGTATGTGACCAAAAAACAATGGCTTTAATACGTTTTTCTTCATTATTTATCTTCCTGACAATATTGCTTTTTCAGGAATACAATGCCAAGCTTTCTGATTTTGGACTTGCAAAAGATGGTCCAGATGGAGATAAAACCCATGTCTCTACTCGTGTGATGGGAACATATGGCTATGCAGCTCCAGAATACGTAATGACTGGTGAGTTTTGGAATATTTGGACCTTTTAGTTTCCTACTGCTGTGATTGAAAAGTACATTAAATGAATTTTTTCTTGGAAGGAAAATATGGTGATTTACGTTCTTTTCACTTGTCAACTCTTTTACCTATTTGTTCCCATGGCATGCAATGCTCGGATTAAAATTGTAGAATTTGGAACTGTGTTATCTTGTTCAGTCTACTAGTGCCTTTTCATTCTCCCTTGTGATTGCATTTGGTCTGATAAATGCTCGTATCACAGGACATCTTACATCAAGGAGTGATGTTTACAGTTTTGGAGTGGTTCTTCTCGAAATGTTGACTGGCAGAAGATCCATGGATAAAAACCGTCCTAACGGCGAACATAACCTTGTGGAATGGGCACGGCCATACCTAGGAGAGAAAAAAAGATTCTATCGTTTGATAGACCCTAGGCTTGAAGGTCATTTCTCAATAAAAGGTGCCCAAAAAGCAGTACAATTGGCTGCTCAATGCCTTAGCCGAGATCAAAAGATCAGACCCTTGATGAGTGAGGTTGTTGAAGCCTTGAAGCCTCTGCCAAACCTCAAGGACATGGCAAGTTCATCTTATTATTTTCAGACAATGCAAGCTGACCGCGTTCGATCCAGCCCAATGGCGAGAAATGGCTACCACACGGCTGCAGGACCAGTTCCAAAGAACGGGCAGCAACTACGCAGTCATTCAGTCGCACACGGTTCTCATGCTTCTCCTTATCATCATCAGCAGCCCCATCCATCTCCAAAACCCAATGTCAAAGCCTAAGAATTGGGTTGTTTGGTAATTAATTAGTAATTATCTAGTTGTGTTAACCCATCTCATTTTGTCATCAATAGATCTCCCCCTTCTACCTCAGTATAGATAGATGTTTATTTTGCAAAACAGCATTTGCTGGTGGATCATTGAAAACGCCGCAACAGATAGACATATCTGCTCTATCATCTTGTTAAAATGGGAAACCTGGCAGAAGAGTGTACGATAGCAGATGAATATTGTTCATCGATTTTCAATGTCATATTGTTTTTGGGAAAGAATAGACAATGCTCCTCATCTCTTCGCTTCCCTCGTTCTATTCCTCTTCATTTTTGTGGGTCAAACACTTCCATTTCAGAAAAAAAATTATGACAGACAAGCAATATTTGCCAGCTTACAAAGACGACAATGCTCCACATTTCAACTTAGATTGACAAAATATTAGGCAACAACAGAGACCGCACCCATATAAAGACCTGATGATTGATAACGAATACGTGATGAATCAAGGGGTTTGACTGCTAAATTATTGGAACAAGGATGAATTTGGTGTTGGAACTTGAGTGGATGTTGAATGGCTTCTCAAACCCACTTTGCCAGTTTGCTTCAGCCATTCATTCTTGACTTGATAGATCGTTGATGCCAATGTAATCCATTTGGGTTAATATTATAAGTCATCGACATATGTGTGTTCTTACACCATACCCACTTTCTCAATGCAAGTGCCCAAATATACCAACTGATCGAGAAAGCAAAAGCATGCAGCTATGGACAAAATACTATCATTGGGGAAGATTAATTATAAAATAGAAGATGTGGGTGGCCAACGGTGAACAGAAAGGTCTGAACCGTTCGGAATCCGCCGCGTGGACGGAGGAGGAAAGAAGCAATCATTGCAGAGAAATGAAAAGATCTGAAACCATTTCGGGAAAACTCTGATTCAGTCACAGCCCGATGAGATTCTTTGTGAAAATGGGTTACTCAATTCGCACAGTTGCTCCACTATGGCGCCGAGTAATTCTTTCAATGATGAGGAGAAGGACACGGAGTTTGTGCGGTCTGGTCTGTGATCTCCATTTAGAGTTACCTACCTCATCACGCAGCTACATACGCATTTGCCATTGCCAATTGCCACCTCAAATTCACTCGCTTGGCTGCCCATAAGAGCGAATATTTCTCAAAAAGCTATAGGGGTTTTGCAGTGCAGGTAAGGTGTTTGTTGTATGTCCTCTTCCCTTTCTTCATCCTACACAGTCCACGATTAGTTGTTTGATTAGAAAGAAGAATCGAAATTTTCAAATGGGTGGATTTCTCTGAACTTTCTCTGGGTACATGACTCGATGTCAACCATCTCAGAAAACTATGCTCAAGATTATTCATTAGTTTGATTTTGGAATACTTCGGTAAACTTAGAACATGTGGTAGACATTTGATTGTTGCAAGTTCAATGAAGTGCTTCAACCTGGCAAGATTGGCTCCAAATGAAGGTAGACTCTGTTGAATGGGTTAGAAACTATGAAGGCTGCAAATGCTTGATTGCTTTCTATAAGCTCAGCAATACCAAATGAGCATATCCAAAGCCTGTATTTTTATGGTCTGGTTGTTGCTTATTGAAGTGTGCAGCCAAACGAGACTTGAAAGTGTTGTGTCTCTGTTTTCTACAGCTAGAAATCTTCATGTTCTAGATTTGAAATTCATGTTTCTAGTTAACTTGTGGGTTTGATATTGAACAAGACGAGCATGTGAAGAGATCAGAGAAAGGTAATATAAAGTTGAGAGTGTTTTGGCCCTCTAATTTTTGTGTTTTCTGGTTTGAAAGAGCTGCTAGAGGAAAGTGGGTGAAAATGAGAAAGCTGAAGTTGCAGGAAAATAAGCAGAAGAAGATGCAGAGTGGAAGAATTTGGCAGAGCTCAGCATCACTCAACAGTGTGTCCCCATCCTAAAAGCAAATCAAACACTGTATTTGCCTTACCAATTATGCATATCGGATAGAGTTTCCAGATGGAGCGTTTGAAACTTTGAATACGGAGTTAACGTTTTGTTTCTTGTTTTCACTTCCTTTCTTGATCTCTAAAATTTTAAATTAAGAAAAAAAGTAAATGTTTTATGTAGAAATTAATTTTTCAAAATAAATATATTAAAATTTTTTTGTCATATTTATTTTTTATGTTTATCATGAATTTTATGAGTAAAAAGTGATAAAATAAAATTTTTCTATGTTTTGAAAAAATAAAATTTTATTTTATTGTTTCTAAAATTTCAATACAATTTTCAAAACGTTTCTTAAAAATAACAACAAGAAATATAAAAAGTTACCAAACAATTATCTTTCTATTATCAAACATGCCCTTGTGTGGTCTGTTTTGGGTGAATCTTTTAACTTTTTACCTCCATGTTCTTGCATGGTATTTGGAAACTTGGGTTTGTTTTGTTCAATATTCTCAAAATAGTTCTGTTTTTTCAAAATAAAAATTTAGTGGAAACATGTTATGAATAGTTGGCTTTAAATTATACCACCTTTTTTTTAATTGTTGACAAAAAAAAATATATGTTATCAACCTAAAGTCCTAAACATAGCTCAATTTGTGAAGTTATTTATCTCTCATCAAAAGATGGTGAATTCAAATTTCTATTATACAGTAAAAAGAAACAAGAAAAAAAAATTTTGATTTTAGAATTTGTTAGATGGGTCAAAGAAGTTTTTTCTTTGGTTCCACCTAAAAGAAGGTACCATATCAATATGGCCATGCCAATGACATCACGAGTTGTATAGTACATTTCAATAAAATGGGCATTTACTAATGATATTACAATAACTTTTTTGTAAGTACCTTGGAAGAGAAATTCAAACCGGGTTTGGTCGAGAATATACATTTTAACTAATTAAATTATGTTATGATAATTAAACATTGAAAGAGTAAATAAAATATATTAAATGTTAGATATCAAATTCASGACAAAAATTTCATGTAATCTTACATTAAAATTTTCAAACTTTTTGGTCTAATTTGGGATGATTAATATTGGAAATTTGGAACACAACTTACCCAAAAACAGTGTCTAACTACTTTCTATTATTATTATTATATTCTAATAATCCAGCTTAAAACTAAGTTTGGCTATTGACTTAATGAATATACATGATTATCAAAATACGCATCAATTCAATACGGGTGGACGAAGGTTTTTTTTTTCTTTTTTTTTTTAATACTACAGGGTGGACAAATTTTGTGACACAGGCAATTGCTATATTAATTATGTCATTTCGTTGTCTTTGAATTAATTGTGCATTCTTCAAAAGAAGAAACCGTTCCTCAATTGAAAGGTTTATAAACACTTGGCTTAAAAGATCTTGCAAAACCGAAAAATCCTCCAACAAAATAGAAATACTATAACTTTGTATTATAAATATAACAACTCAAACTTTTGAATATATATAAATATATATATATATATATATATATATATATTTAGTTCAATGTGGGGATCAAATCACAATCTCATTGGAGATATATGTAAATTATATTGAGCTGTGCTCACTTAATTTTTAAATATTTATTTCAATCCTATATTTTAAAAATGGTAATTTTTTCCTTAAAAAGAAATGGTAATTTTGTCTCTAATTTTGAATTGTGATAATATGCAGACTTAGGAGTGTTCACAAGTAAGAACGAGGAAGTCTTGTCCCCCCTTATTTCAATTCGCAAAATTTTCACTATATTTTGCGGGATCAAGACAGAGATTCCCCATAGAGAATTTGTAGGATTAGGTTTAATGGTTCGTTTAGTAATGTTTCTATTTGTTGTTTATCGTTTTTTACTTTTAGTTTTTTATAAAAACATAGAATAGCATTTGGTAACTTCTTTTTTTGTTCTTTCTTTTTTTTTTTCCGCTGAAACATGTATGAAAACAATTTTTTGTTTCTTGTTCTCTACAATTTCAAATTAAAAGGTGTAAAAGTTTTATTTGAAAATTAAAATTTTAAATTAAAAATTTTGTTCTTTTATTTATTTTTTAAATATTTATTATGCAATTTATTAGTCAATAATGATAAAATAATATTTATATTTATGTTTTGAAAAATAATTAGAGGAACATGAACTAAGAAACTTGATTTTGTTATTTTCAAAATTTTAGGTTTCTTGGAAATGAGAAACAATATTTGTTTCTAAAAAATTGGAAATGAGGAATAAGAAACAAAAAACAAGATATTACTAAACAAGTCTTTAAGTTTTATGTGTTTTTTTGTTCATGTTTTCAATTTTTCTCTAGAACATAAAAAAACATTATTTTATTATTGACTTATAAAATACATAATAAATATTAAAAATAAATATAAAAAAATTTAATTGAAAAAAATTAAATTTCATATCAAAAAAATTATTTTTCAATTTTAAAATTTTAAAGAACCAGAAATAAGAAAGGGTTACCAAAAAAGAAAAATCAATAAAAAAAGAAAGAACAAGAAACAGGAAATAGAGTCAATTTAATAATATGCTCATTTCTTATTTTATGTCCTATTTTTTAATAAAAAAAACATAAATGCATGGATGCCAATATCATGAATGCAAGAATGATAAACAATATTTTTATTTATATTGGAACAAATTGGAAATGGAAACAATAAAAAATTACATAGCCCCCAACACGCATGGATTAAAAAATGATAAAACAAATTTTTTATCTATGTTGGAATAAATTGGAAACAAGAACAAAAAAAAAACTTATTTCCGTTATTTCCAAAATTTCGATATAATTTTGAAAATATTTCTATTAATTGAGAAATAAAAAACATAAAAAATTATCAAATACTTAAATTTCATAATAAAATTAGAAATAAGAAACAACAAACATGAATATTATCAAATGGGCCTGAAAATATTATCAGTCGAGTTGTCACTAATAAAAATCTACAATTGAAAAATGTTAAAACATAAGGTTAAATTGAAACTTTTTAAATAATAGAGCTGAAGTTGAAAAGAAAAAAACAAAAATTTTTACCAAATAAATGAGATGAGATGACAAAATAAAGTGAGAGTTAGGCAGAGAATACAATACAAAACTTTAACAATACCCACTAAACATATCTTATACGAAATCCATAGAGAAAAAAAAGAGAGAATTAGGAATAAAAGACAAATAAAGAAAGTTGGAGAAGTGAAATTGGATTTAAACTTAACCATTTTTATGTTTTCTTTTGGAGACGGCAAAGGATACCTTTGCGTTAACTCACCGTCCATCTCTCTGGATTTTTGCTAAATCCGCAAACGACCCGCCGCAATTGCCTAATTACATAAACCCCCCAATTAAGTGTATGTATCCAACTTCAGCCCCCCAACTCCAAATTTAATTCCCCAGATATTTATTTATTATTCCAAAAGCAATTCTATTTTATTTTTTGCAAAGGAAAGTCATTTTATTTGATTAATCAAATAGTGTCCACTCTTGTCATTTATCTCCAATCTCTCTCTCTCTCTCTCTCTCTCTCCTGTCCTCTTTTTTCTCTCTCTTCTGTTCTTCATTTAAGTTCTTCTTCCCGGTTCCCTGCATCTGCGCTGAAGAGGGAGTAGTGGCAACAGTGGGATCATGTCGACGATTGGACTCGATCCTCTTCTATACCACTGTGGGAAAGGGAAACACAGATTCCACCGGCGTCCTCAATTCAATACGCTCAAACCCTGTTCCTTCGGTTACTATCCTAATAAGCTCCTCTACCGTGGCCGAAGGAGTTTCTTCAATTGCAATTCTTATAGACTTCCTGCTCTTAGAKCTAGCTCGACTAATGCGGCTCTTCTTGAAAGTTTCCAATCTACGGATGTCCTACTGAAGGAGACGTTTCCTCTCAAGCGCACCGAAAAGGTTTGAGACTTTGAGTTATATCTTATCATATGGAACTCTTTTTCTTATTCTTCTTCCTGCTATTTAATTTGTGGGATTTGTTTTATCGCTGCTGGGTAGTGCATTTCCCTTTTCGCTTCGTTGCGTTTTTCACTCTCGGGATGAGAAATTGTTGCTTGTTTTTACTGGTTGAACTTCTTTTACCTAAGAATTAGGGAGGGTTGACTTCAGTTCGTCGTTGTTGGTTCGAGCTTGTAGGTGGAGGGAACGATCTTTGTCCGATTAGCGCAGGGGAAAAACCAGAATCAATGGGAGCTTACTGTGGGATGTAACCTTACTGGGAAATGGATTCTTCACTGGGGCGTGTCCTTAATCGACGATAGTGGCAGGTATTTCTCGTTTCATTCTCTGTTCCTTCTGGTATGAGAAGAAACTTAAATAGCTAAAAAAATTTACTGGTGCTTGTTTTATTCAAACGTTGCCTTTATCTAAAATGGGTCGATATTGAATGAATGAACCTTGCAGCGAATGGGATCAACCTCCTAAAGAAATGATACCCCCGGGTTCAATACCCATCAAAGTATGTTGCTCTAGTCTCTTAATTTCAATGAGTAAGCTGCTCTTGCATTACCTGCAAATGTTTAATGAGAATTCTATTCTCAGGATTATGCAATTGAAACACCATTGAAAAAATCATCCTCATCTTCTCTGGGAGATACTGTTCATGAAGTGAAGATAGATCTTGTTCCCAACAAAGGAATTGCAGCTATAAATTTTGTTTTAAAGGTTCTTATTTTCATAGCAATTGAGAACGTCTGCTATTTCTCTTTGGGTCATGCTCGTTTCTAATATTGCAAGTCCCTTTGGGGAATGGGACTTCTTATTTTTGGTAGTGCAGGATGAAGAAACTGGAATTTGGTATCAGCACAAAGGGAGAGATTTTAAGGTGCCTCTTACAGACTCCCATGGTGATGATGGCAATATAGTTGGAACGAAAAAGGGCTTGGGTTTATGGCCAGGTTGGAGAGGTCTTTATGTAATTTATATTCGTATAATTTCTTGTTTCTTTTAATATGGCAATGCATGATATTCTCATTTGTTTTTATTTCTCCTTTTTATTTATTCATACTTTTCGAACTATAGAGTTAATACAGATCCCCTAACTAATCATTTTATTTTTTACCAATAAAATGTTGAATTTTAATTAGCTGTGAATGCTGTTATAATTGAAGTTGTCTCAAATGGAAGAAATTGTAGAACTGAATAAGACCAATAGAGATAAATGATTTTATGTTCATCATACATCTTCATTCAATTGTCGGTACAATAAACCACTGATAAAGTTTTGTCTCTTCATCTCTTTAATTTCTCTTCTGTTCTTGCAATCAGTTCTGAGTTCGTAATAGAGTTGTAGCTTTAGCTGTTGAACAGCAAGATATGCTAAGTGATGCTCTTCACTGTATACATTCTTTTTTTTAGTAGACCAGTTATAGTTCATAATCAAGAAATACATTCTTAGAGTGTCAAACTAGAAAGTTATGCCTACAGTTTCTTGCAGTTATGTAATAGGCCCATTTCTTGCTTCCATCGTGCACTGGAGGGGGTTTATTTAGTTAGTGGGTTATGAGTTTAAATTGCCACACACCTGTTTCCCTGGTGTTTATCTCATTATTTCAGCTGTTGTCTATCATGTGGATGGGATGCACTTTATAACTTTCTTCAATTCTAGGGGCTTTGGGACAGCTATCCAACCTACTTGTCAAAGCAGAGTCTTCTAAAGGTCAAGAAAGCAGTGGTGAATCTGGAGATACAAAGGAGAAATATTTGGAAGGATTCTATGAAGAACTGCCTATTGTAAAAGAAGTAGCTTTTGATAACTCGGTCAGTGTTTCAGTTAGAAATTGTCCTGAAACAACCAAATATCTTTTGTATTTGGAAACTGACCTACCTGGAGATGTAATTGTTCATTGGGGAGCTTCAAGAGATGAGACTAGGAAATGGGAGATTCCAGCTGCTCCTCATCCTCCGGAAACAACAGTATTCAAGAACAAGGCCTTGCGTACTCTACTGCAGGTTTTTTGCAAAGCATTTTTTCCCTGAAATTTGGATCTACAGTACAGTCTTTCATCTTTCAAGAACTCTTTTCTAGCATTATTGAGACAATGAATAGAAATTTTAAGGCAAATGCTTAGAGGGAGCCTTGGGTGTAAACCCCTAAAAGTTCTCTACACTCTAGCAATATGGAAAAAATCTGTAGTAATTGATCTATCATTCATCAAAATTTTGTTGTTTATCTGCAGCATCGTTAGCTGTGTATGAATAAGCCTCTTGATAATGAAAATAAAATTTGAGTAGATTTTTTCTTTTTGATACAAGTTAGAATGATTAAATACATCTTGGAAAATTCTATTCATTCTAAGCACACATATGCTTTTCAAATCTTCATGTTTGGATTTTGTAAAAATTCATGTTAAGTTTAGATTTTGCGTCGAGAATATTGTTGTGTTGTTATTTATGAAGTGTCCTCTTTGCAGCTGAAAGAAGGGGGGAAGGGATCTTGTGGAATTTTTACCATAGAAGAAGAGTTTGATGGATTTCTTTTTGTTCTCAAGCAGAACGAGAACCCTTGGTTAAACTACAAGGGAGATGACTTCTACATCCCTTTCCCAAGTTCAGGTCATTTGCCTGGTCAAAAGAGACAGAATGAATTTGAAGATGCAGGAGTATCTAGAAAAGCTGGAGATGGATATGAAGAAGTTTCTGTTACTGCTTATACTGATGGAATTATCAAGGAAATTAGAAATTTTGTTACTGACATTTCTTCTCAGAGGACTCAAAAGAAAAAAACCATAGAAGCACAAGAAAGCATTCTTCAGGAAATTGAAAAATTGGCTGCTGAAGCCTATAGTATCTTCAGAAGTGCTTCTCCAACTTTTACAGAGGAAATAATTGAGATGCCTAAACCTGTAGAGCCACCCGTGCAAATTTCCTCTGGCACAGGTTCAGGTTTTGAAATATTGTGCCAAGGATTTAATTGGGAATCTCACAAGTCTGGAAGATGGTACATGGAACTTAAAGAGAAAGCTGCAGAATTATCCTCCCTTGGTTTCACTGTGATATGGTTGCCACCTCCAACTGAATCTGTGTCACCAGAGGGATACATGCCAAAGGACTTGTATAATTTAAGTTCCAGGTAAATATAAAAATGTTGTARTTTAGCCAGCAAGGGGTAGCCCAATTGGCAAGAGCTCGGGGTCTCTTGGTCATACCAACCGACTTAAAGGTCTCAAGTTTGAACCTTTGGGTGAGCTTAACATAAAAGATCTTTGATGTCCTCTGAGTCCAGGCCTTGGGATGGGTGTGAGTGCTTTGGATGTAGGGGAGCAAAGCTCCAACTCACGGTTATTAAAGAAAAAAAGAGAAAAAAGGTTTGTAGTTTATATGACATGATAATTTAATTTATATCAAAAAGAAGATTTGAAAAGTAAACAGGTAGAACCATTTCACTCCTAGGATTTTGCATGTTATCATCCAATGATTCTTCATAATTGTTCTTCTATCTTGTGCATGGAATCTAGAGAATGTGCTCAATTCATCCGAGGATGGTCGCTTTAAAACCTTTCGATGTGCTCTTTTCCCTCATATTTAGTAATTTGAAAAATGGTAGGCATCATTACAAGGAAGATCTTTAAATAAATATTTGTTCAACTATACTTTGTTCATTTCAGATATGGTAACATTGATGAGCTGAAGGATGTTGTGAAAACATTCCATGATGTTGGGATAAAGGTTCTTGGTGATGTTGTCTTAAATCATCGTTGTGCACATTTTAAAAATCAAAATGGTATTTGGAATATATTTGGTGGTCGCTTAAATTGGGATGACCGTGCAGTAGTTTCAGACGATCCACATTTTCAGGTTTGATTATTCTGTTTGGCTTCTCAGATACCTGCCGTTTAGATTCTATTCAGTTTTCCACTTATATTTTATATGAAATATTGCGTGATGAAACAAAAATAAAAATCATAACACAACAATATGTAACGACTATAAATAAATAATACATTTTGGACAATTTGATCCTTGATATGAATGATTGTCCACTCTCTACTTCTGAAGTCTAAAAGTAATTATCATAAATTTAGAGCGAAATTGTTTGAGATTGTTAACGTTTGTGAAAATGTTGAGCTTTGTATGCATGATATTACCCTTGAAGCTGTGTAAATGTCATCATTGAACTAAGTATATTGCCTTGTTTATGTTACATTGAGAGACGTAGACTTCATTTAAGTATTTACATCCTTTTTGCTATTGTTTAGTTACTTGGACAACAAAATTGATTATTTCTTTGTCATGTCATGTGAAGGGTAGAGGCAACAAAAGTAGCGGAGATAACTTCCATGCAGCACCCAACATTGATCATTCACAAGATTTTGTGAGAAATGATATTAAAGAATGGCTACGCTGGTTAAGGTTAATTCTCTGACTAACCTTTTTTTGGGCTGAACTATTAATTTCTGTGGAGTTCTTTTTGTTCTTTATTATTTTATGTGAAACCTTATGATATTCAAAATTTTCACAATAAACAGTAAGTAGCATGACATGATAACCCGAGAAATGGACTTAGGGGTGAAAAGAGGCTTTGGACTCTAACCAAGAGGTCCTGAGTTCAATGACCAAGAGGTCATAGATTCACCTCTTAGTGCATAGGCTATTACTTGAGGTATAAACCTGGAGACAGTTTTTTGACTCATCAGTGCTGGTATGATTATATATGATTTCCAGTTTTGAACTTGTTGAACGTAAAAATTTGAGGACACTGTATATTAAAAAGGTAAATTAACCAAATAAGTGAAGGACTTCAATTAAGTTGATCCATGAAGGCATTTGGCTCTCTTTAATTCTTAAAAGTGATCAGAATATTTGCCATCATGACAGGTGGATATGCTTGATTTTCTTTTTAATCCATCTGATTTTTGCTCCTTAAAATGAATTCGCATGGCTATCTTTAAATTATTGGTTGTGGGTTTAATTATGGTCGTTTTAACAGAGTACTTGGTGTTATTAACTTCTATGATTTCCTGATATGCATATGAACATCTCTTTCTTGATCAATGTTGATGTCTCTTTTGTACTTTGCTTTTGTTTTTGTAAACCCGTGTTTTTGTTCTCTTTTTTCATTTATCTTAATGAAAAGTGCACTTTCTTATTAAAAAGAAAAATAAATTGGATGAACGTTGGCTTTGATGTATTATGTTTCTGGCTGTTTACATGCAGAAAAGAAATTGGGTATGATGGGTGGAGGCTTGATTTTGTCAGAGGATTCTGGGGTGGTTATGTGAAGGATTACTTGGATGCAAGTGAACCTTACTTTGCTGTAGGTGAATACTGGGATTCCCTGAGCTATACGTATGGTGAGATGGATCATGATCAAGATGCTCATAGACAGAGAATTGTTGACTGGATAAATGCTACTAATGGAACTGCTGGGGCATTTGATGTTACTACCAAAGGGATTCTTCATTCTGTAAGCTTCCATTTAATTATTCATTTGCTAAAAAATCTGTGTTTTTGGATGATTTTTTAGCCTATTCACAAGATGACTTGTTATTATACTTGCAAGAAAAGAAAAAAAAAAGATTGTTATCATATTGTCATAATTTATTCTCCTAAATTCCTAATTGCATTTGTCTAGGATATGTATCTGACAGGCTCAATTATAAAAATACAAATTGTAGTTTGTTTGCTACAGTAGTTCCTAAAAGCTTCTTGATGCTGCAAGAAAGTTTGCTTATTACTTGTTGAAAGTTACATACTTCTAAGATGCTAACTTTTTTTGCTATGTCCTTTTTTCTGTAACTATTTGGAAAATATCTCTTATAGGCACTTGATAGATGCGAATACTGGCGATTATCAGATCAGAAGGGAAAGCCTCCTGGAGTTGTTGGATGGTGGCCCTCTCGTGCTGTTACGTTTATAGAGAATCACGACACTGGATCTACACAGGTTTAAACATCTTTCCTTGTGAACTAATTTATTGCATTTAAAACTGAAATCAGACGGGTGAATCATTCATTAGAGATACACCCTGTGATGCTTTATACATTGACAAATTAGTTTTACCCTTCGAATTGTTAATATGATTAAACTGAGATAATCATCAGTTCTTGTGATTTAATGTACATATCTTTATGCCATGTAGAACCTAAAATTTTCAGCTAATATGATTTACTTTACATTTCTTGAAGCCATCGGTACCATCAATTTTGAGTGTTATTTTGTGATGCTGTTCTCTGATCTTGTAGGGTCATTGGAGATTTCCCGGTGGAAAAGAAATGCAAGGATATGCTTACACTCTGACTCATCCAGGAACACCATCAGTATTCTTTGACCACATTTTCTCCCACTACAAATCTGACATTGCTGCACTTATTTCTCTCAGAAAACGAAATAAAGTCAACTGCCGGAGTGTAGTAAGTATAAATGACCTTTTATTTCTTAAAAACTGGAAGAAATTGACCACTACTTCCAAATTCATTTTCCTTTATTTCACCTTTGTTGGGTTGCTGGAGAGGATCTGGAAACAGAATATGTTTCAGATGAGTTGAAAATATAAATATCCATGTATCTATGTTAGAACCCAAACAGGAAATACTACAAGAACTACCAAGTAATTCGAGGTACTTGGACCCTCCTCTCCTCTCTTGAGTATTCTTACACAAGCCTAAACCATACTCACTCCATTGGATACCTTCATCCTTGCACCTCCATTCTATTTATAACAACACTCCCTAACAACTTTCCTATCTAATTACTAAGGTACCCTCGATACTCTAATAATATCCCTTTATTACCCTAAGGGCGATTCCTATCAATCTACTACTGTACACATCATAGCCAATTGAATGGTTCACTATGAATGCAAGTTTCTAGGCCTTAGGCATCTGATAAATAGAAACTGTAAAGTGCATGAATTGACTCGAAGGACACAGTCCGTTGGAGCCCATCAGCATTAACAGCGTATAGTTGGTGCTGGCCGTGTGGCTTCTTGAAAATGTTACAAGCATATAGTTAACAGCAGATGATTGTGTTTACTATTTAGTTTCTTAGCAAACATTCATTGGGTGGCAAAACGAGGAAAATTCCAATAGTCTTATTCCTGTACAGATCAAGAACAAATATAACTACGGCACTATGCTTTAATTACTTGGCACTTCATTTTTCAGGTTAAAATTGAGAAGGCAGAAAGGGATGTCTATGCAGCCACCATTGATGAAAAAGTTGCAATGAAGATTGGACCGGGCTATTACGAACCTCCTAGCAGATCCAACGGATGGTCGTTAGTTATCGAGGGAAACGACTACAAGGTCTGGGAAGTATCCAAGTAAAATCCTGATGAATCACGAAATTCAGACAATGAAAAATCACTTCCTTGTTGGATGAACCTCATATAAATTGTGACAGAAGGCTGAAGATAATGCTGCTATTGGATCGTGGATAGAAGATTTATACAGTTTTATATGTATTATACATATTCATTGGCTCTAAAAGAAGCATTCATTGAGGACAATGTTAATGTTGTTGTAAAGTTTCACCCATTGGTGGCCATGTATAAATTTACCTGCAGGTTAATAAAGGTTAATAATATACAATGAAATGTCGGGTGATGCAATTGTACCCACCCTTTTTCCCCCTCTCTACTACCTACTTTTTCCATTTATTAAAGATTTTCCTTTAAAAATCCATTTTTGGAAGGCAAGGGTGGAGATTTTCACCCATCCTCTGCCTTGGATTTGTAAAATTGTGTAATGAAGACAATTTTTTTTAATTGATTTCATGTAGTTTCAATGTTTACATATACAAATTACAAAAATAAATTTAATGACATAAAGTTATAGTTTAATTAAATTTTGTTTTTAAAAGTTATTGTATATTGATGAAGAGATTCTTTCAAGGAACCCCTGTGCTTGTAAGCTTTCTGAAGTGTTTATTTTGTAATTTTTTTTGTTTTGAGTACTTTATTTTGTAATTGTTAAGGGTATGTCATTCGGATTCATTTTCCTGAATCAAATGAAATTCAGTGAAAATCGATTTGGCAGTCGATAGATTTGTTAATGAATTATTTTTGGATTTTGTAATCTAAATAGAAAAGTTTCTGAAAATAACGCTTTCATAATTTTAATTTTTCAAATTGAAACTTTGTAATGCAAGAAAGATAAAAACTTTCACATATCATCTTATAAACTCATTTCTATCTCTAATAAAATGAGTAAAACATAAAATACTATAACAATTTTAAATAATATTTAACTCATAAAATACTATAAATTATATAACAATTGTAAAATAATATTTATATAAAATTTATAAAATATATATTAATCATTTAATTACGTTTTAGATTTAACTAAATATTTAATTGATAATTGCTACTCATTTATAAATATAATATGGAATACAACTCCATTTCTTATTTAGGGCAAAATACATTTTTGATACCTGAGGTTTGAGGTAAGTGTCTATTTGGTCCGTAAAGTTTCAAAATGAACACTCTTAGTTCGATTTGAGGTAGGTGTCTACTTGGTTCTTCAAGTTTTAGAATGTACACTTTTGGTCATTGAGGTTTAAAGTAGGTGTCAACTTGGTCCCTGAAGTTTTAAAATGCACATTTTTTATTCCTGAAAGTTTGAGAAATAGTTTTAAACGGTCTCTAATTTTTTTATTGTTATTAACTAATATTAAAATGACATGTCAAATTAATTAAATTGTTTATTGTAGTTGATGATGTGACAAATAATATTAATTAAATGATATATGTTCAGTACAAATGACGGACAGTGGCGGTAAAGACTTGGTGGTCACCGGAAAAAGGTAGGAGAAAGAGGGAGGAAGAGATGAGGAGAGGAGAGAAAAAGTATCATCACCTACACATATATTATTTAATTAATATAATTTGCCACGTCAGCAACTACAATAAATAATTTAATTGTAATTTGACACGTCATTTTAATATTAGTTAATTAACGGTAAAAAAATTAGGGATCATTTAGAACTATTTATCAAATTTCAGGATCAAAAGTGTTCATTTTAAAACTTCAATGACCAAGTTGACACATAATTTAAACTTTTAAGGAATAAAACATGTTCATTTTGAAAACTTCAAGGACGAAGTAGACACCTACCTCAAATCTCAGAGATGAAAAGTGTTTAATTTCAAATACCAAATAGACACTTAGGACCATAAATGTATTTTGCCATTTTATTTAATACTTTGTTTTAACGAAACAAACGTTGTAACATGAAAAAGGAAATAAAAAAACAAAACAAAACTCGGTTTATTCGTTTTCTGTTTATAACCGACGGTGCTGGAAACATCAAAAGCTGGCTACAGAGGGAAAAAAAGAAAAGAGAATCAATATTAGGAAGTAACTGTTTTAACCGTTTGAGTGGCAAACGGTTCTCCCTTCTTCCCGCCATTAACGACCATCTCCAACCCCTCATCTTCCCCTGTTTTCTTCTTAAAATCCCTTCTTCCACATCGAACAACTCGCACCTCTCGCCTCCTCGAGCGAACCCTTATGTGTTTCGCTTGAGGTCCAATCCCTTAAAAAACTTTTCTTTTCTTTTATTTGGTGTTGAAACAAGTTCAGCACCCCACAAAAATGGCTCCAACAACAAGAACCATCACAAATATGGCTTGCCTTCTGCTACTGACCTTGTCCATGGCGGCAGTCGCAAATTCCGGCATCGCAGACTTCGACGATTTCTGGAAAAAACGCGCCGTCGAAGCCCAAGAAGCCGCCGCCGAGGCCTACGAACCCAATCCCGAGAAAATCACCGACTCCATCAACGAGGAAGTTGGCGAGTAAGTTCCGACCAGCTGCACTGGCGGACCCAGAAATTTTACATTCTAATTTCTTCCTAACTATAACTTTTAGAAAATTTTAAAATCTTTAAACTTTCTTGGGGGCAATGGCATCCTCTGTTTTTTTTAGAAGCGAAATTAATGTGTGGAGGTTTGAGTTTCAGGCTGTTGGCGGGAAGCAACAGAACCGGGAGGAATTTGAATTCGAAGAAATACCGTGGCCCATGCCGCGCCACTAACCCCATCGACCGGTGCTGGAGATGCAACCCCAATTGGGCGGCCAACCGCAAGAAATTGGCCGATTGCGTTCTGGGTTTCGGCCGGAGAACGATCGGCGGTAAGATGGGGCCGTACTACTTGGTCAACGATTCGTCGGACTCGGACCTCATGAACCCGAAACCCGGAACCCTCCGACACGCGGTGATCCAAAAGGGACCGCTGTGGATCATCTTCGGTAGCAATATGGCGATTCGGCTGACTCAGGAGCTGATCATGACCAGCGACAAGACCATCGATGCAAGAGGGGCCAATGTCCAAATCGCTTTCGGGGCCGGAATTACCATTCAGTACGTGAAGAATGTGATCATCCATGGGCTTCGTATCCATCACATCGTGGTCGGCACCGGCGGAATGGTCAGAGACTCGGTTGACCATGTGGGGTTGAGGACAATGAGCGACGGCGACGGCATTTCCATCTTCGGTTCCTCCAATATTTGGATCGACCATGTTTCCATGTCCAGATGCCACGATGGTCTAATCGACGCCATTATGGGATCCACCGCCATCACCATCTCCAATTGCCACTTCACTCACCACAATGAGGTAACAATAATTGAGAAACAATTTCCAGTCCCTCGAATGATTTTCTCATAAAGATGAGAATTTAAACAGGTGATGTTGTTCGGAGCCAGCGACGGGTACTCGAGAGATTCAATAATGCAAATAACGGTGGCATTCAACCACTTTGGCCAGGGATTGATGCAGAGGATGCCGAGGTGCCGATGGGGCTTTGTCCATGTTGTCAACAATGACTACACTCATTGGCTTATGTATGCCATTGGGGGCAGCCAGCACCCCACCATCATCAGCCAGGGCAATCGCTTCATCGCTCCTCCAAATGTCTACGCCAAAGAGGTAACTGATTTAACCAACACCCCATCCATCCATTTGCTTTGATTTTCTCCGAGGAGAATTGAAAGTGGGTGCGGATTGACTCAGGTGACAAAGAGGGAGTACTCGCCGGAGAATGTATGGAAGAGCTGGACATGGAGATCGGAGGGAGATCTTATGATGAACGGAGCATTCTTCGTTACCTCAGGCGACCAGAGCAAGAGAAGACCCTTTTCAAAGTTGGATATGATCTCTTATAAGCCGGGGACATTCGTCACCAGGATGACCCGCTTCGCCGGTGCACTCCCTTGCTTCCTCGGCCGGCCATGCTAGACTCCAAACTTCCATCCTTTTTTACCAGACATCGCTGGAAACTTGCCGTCAAAAGCATATATAGAGAGGAACGAGAGATACATTTAATTCATATACAACTCTTCGTCAGGGTCACTACTCAACACACAAGTATGGAAATTTTGGTTATTGTGTCGGCTGAATTGGGTGAAGGCATAAAGAAGGAAAACACATACTTGTGTATCTGGCCGTTTCATTACCAGAACCCATATAAGTGAACTTGTTTTATGATTACCTCTATTCTATTTCCATGTTTATTTCATTCTGCTGTCTCTATAACAATAAATTTAATATGTGCATTTTAAGAAAATGWTACAACTTTTCTTTTGATTTTCTTTTATCATCAAATATATCAGGTGTAACTTTAACTATGAATTCGGACTGAATTTGAGTTATGTTATTTTCAAAAAGTTCCAAACTACCTTCTCCTATAAGTGTGGTGATTAACTGACAAAAGATGGGTGTGAAAGAAAAGAAGGGATAACGTAATGAACAGTTATTCTAAAGGAACAATCAACTAAAAGAAGCGACACAACTAGTGAGTTACAGACTAACAGGGCAAAATTTTGTTCCACGACCCTTACATATCATTGGTTTTGTAGAATCTGGAAGTAAATTGAATTTCTCAATAGTAAAGTTTATTTGTGTGAAGCAGTAATCACACCTCAAAATGTCCTAACATAGCATGGTATTTTACTCATTGCCAACATGAACTATTCGGAAATTTGAGGAAAAATGAGATATTGCATATAAGACAATGCTAACAGAACGCCTCCTTGGATTATATAAGATACACAACTTAAACAAATATGTAATGATGGTAGAATCAACACAGGAGGGTGCACAGCAGTCAATCTCTCTCTTCTCATTAACAACATCTAGTTGATGTGGACCTGCCATTTGTCAAACAGCATAAATTATGGGCAACAAAACACGCCGTGATATCTATAAAATTGTTAGGAAAAAAACAAAGGAAAGAGAGATAAACTCTGAGCGTTGTAAAAATAGCTCAGTTTTTAAGATTAGAAAACAAAAAACAAGGCCATTATAAGAGGTGAGACTTAACCTTCTACGTGGGGTCATTTATTCAAGAGACTGACAAATTCGTGTAGTTCTTTTCTTCTATTAATAACTTTACCACATAGAAATCAAGGCAATCTAAAACAGGAAAGGTAATTTTATCACACATCCAAACTATCACGATTTATAAATGGGGTTATGGTTATCTAGTTGGACGAGGTAGGTTTGCTGTGTTCGTTTTTAGTTCCAATTTCTCGAAGTAAATATAATGAGAAGACTCCAACCTTAATTCTTAGATAAAAAACAACATTGTTGCAAATTAGTGAACATCAATCGCTTCTTCCATATGATATACACTAATAATCTAAAAACTGGGGAAAGGATCAAGATGAAAGCAAAAGTCTTCAAACCTGAGCAGTGCTCTTGGCTGGTCTTCTGTAAAACCTCGGGATAGCGTATCAGTAAGTTCCTTAAGACCCTGAAAAATAATTGGAACACTTATAAACAAGTAATTAATACTAACAGATATTTAAGACAGGTAAATAAAAGACCGGTATACATGTCAATTCCCTCCAAACGTCCCCACATAAGAACCACTTCAAGTTCACATCCATAACCAATACGGGAAACCTATTCTAGCAACTGTTTGATGCTTTTTCAGTAAATTTAAGAAACAAATGGCAATCACGTAAAGGTTTGAAAGGACATTTGGTGCTTCAGCAGTAAAAGTTATGTTTGTGACTGAGTGAATAATTGTTTCATAATCTAGAATGACCCATACTTTAGCAAGTTGGCACAAAGGAGTCAGGTTGTCATTGAGAGAGAAAATACTCCTTAAGTTATCAGACATAAATTGCAAAAGCATTCAAAGTTACAAAAAAATCCCCCTTCAACCAATTGGGGGGACGCTGCAGTAAAACATACTTTCAGATTAGGAGTTTCCATATGAGTCAGCAGACCCTGAGTCTTGCCTGGAAGTTTAAGCTGCTCCTGCAAGTAACGGGATGAATAATGGGTACAATGATTAGTTTCATAGGAAAGCATGAAGTGGAGATTATATGTCAGAGGAGCTCCGAGAATTGAAATCAATAAGAAATTGCAATGGTTGAGTCAAGTTGTTAAAAGTTGATCGAAAGACAAATGATAAATATGTGAAAAATAAAAGAAATATAACTTCAGGAGCCCTCCTGCCAACAACGGAATCAATTGGTGAGTCACAGGACCCAATAATTGGGGTGAAAGTTGAAACTATCTAATCACAGACATAGATGTTTGGGATTTCAGTTAAGGTTAAATTGCATAAGTACTGGCTTCAACCTTTAAAGTTTCAGGCATTTTCCCCTGCTTTCCATCAACAAAGTTGCACAAGTACAATACACCAACATTTGCAAGTTCCTGATAACAACGAATCATCATAAGCAAAGTTTCCAATATCACCTGCAAACTGTAATTAATAGAAATTCTTTCGCAATAATTAGAACAAAATCATGTCAGGAAATTTCTTGGCAATAACTGTTTGAGGTTAGTGAAACTATGGAAAACCTCCCTATTCTAAATATACAGATGATACTTCACCCAATTTATTATATTTGGTCGGAGACCTCACCTTTTAAGGTATAAAATAAAAGGAAACTTCAGTCAAACTGACAAAATGAAAGTAAAATTACAAGCCAAAAAAATAAAAGAGGAAGTTTCTCACCTGCTTATATTCAAGAGAAGATAGTTTCCCATCCTGAAAGAGGAGAAGTGAGGCAATATCATTATTAATTCTCAGTGAAATAGCAGTCAGATACATCAAAAACAAAATTCTTTTAATGTAATATCTCAGTCAGCGAGCACAGATACTCAAAAAGGGCTATTGCTCATCATTTATCAAATTTGAAAATCACAAGCAGTTATTGAAAAGAACAATTCAAAATGTCCATGCAAGTAGAACCGTAAAAGTAAAGGCATGGTAAATGCAATAAAAGGATCAGATCACCAATCTTACAGTGCAGAAACATAAATATTAGTTTTGCAACTCCTATAACAAAAAACTCACCAAACCAGAAACCAAGTTTTGCAATTGGCCCAAGTCAAAGTCAATCTCAGAAAGAGATTTTTGAACTCCTGATACCTGTTTCACCAATATTAACCATATCAAGACAATGTAAATGTTTCCAAACATTTTATAGAATGCACCTCCTCCTGCCCGTTCATGGGAATATAAAATTGAACTTGCTACATCTATACGGTGATAAGAAAGCAGTTTTAGCTTGGTTTTATTTGAGACCATGTTATATGAAAATTATCAATATTTCTCTGAATCAATGTACTACAAAATTACATAACATTGGCATATCTCAAAGCATTGAGTAAATGCAATCTTTTTTTATTATTATTATAATTTTTCATACTTTCTCCTTTCTATTGTTTCTTAAATTAAAAATAATAATAATAACGCTATGACAAAAGTCTTACAAAATACACAATGGAAAAATAACTGTACAATGATAAGGTTGTAGCAGTTGCACCTGACCAAAGTAAAAGATTTATAAAAAAAAGGAAAACACGGATTGTAATGCCAATAAATTAAGAAAAATCAGTATTTTTAGCTGTATAAAATTTCTTTATATCAAGATAATTTTGAGCACCATGAAATTCATAGATCCATTCATCATTTAACAGAATCTCAGAGAACTAGCATATGCCAATATCATACACAAAAATGTTAGTTGACTACCTCCACATGCTAAAAAAAAGCTCAAGTGTCAAAGAACTGCAAAGTCATTAGATCACATACATCATCTTTAATCAATTTTGAAAGCTCATTCTGCTTCAACATCTTATCATCCAAGTTTTCGATCCGCTGTGTCAAATGCCTCTTTGTAGCCTATTCAAGAAAAGAAATAAGACGTAAAAGTTGTCAACATATTTTAATTAATCATCACTGGTTGAAGGGTGAATGAGTTGAATAATTTTTTTTTTTTTTTCTAAATGAGTTGAATCATTTAAAAAATGTATATATCTGATGCCTAAATCCACAATAAATGTAGTAGGCAGAAGATATGAGTTAGCAGTAGTATCAGAAATATGGATTAAATATTAATATGCAGAGATGTGAAACCGATTAATCAAGCATCCAATTACATCATCGGTATTCAGTAAATAATAAGCTCTTCAACAAGGATCCGAGGAGCACATGTCAAATTTCTTGACTCATAAGTCACAACTATAAAAATTTTAACACCGTGAAATGAGCCATATCTACACTTTTTTCCCTCCAAATAATACACGTTAGAGCATACTAGACCAGACTTACAGCAAGGGCCTCTGATACATTCTCCAAATGCTTAGTTAAGTTTGACACAGCATTAGCCATATTGCGCTTTGTAACATACATAAGGTCTGAGAATGAAAATCCCTGCTCAAAAAGAAAGAATAAATAAGTATGAATTATGAAGAAATAACGACAACACGACCCATTTGAAACACTGTGGAGCACTTCATTAAGATAACTTTAAAAAAATCAAATGCTTAAAAAGGGAATTATTTACAGATACACGAGTATAGAAAGACAAAAAAATTACAAAAGAAAAGACAGTAAATTTTGGGCATATAAATAATAGAACACAAGTAAAGAACCTTAAAAAGAATCTAACTTTTACCTTCCACCACATGTATCCATATCCCAAGGCACCCAAAGTAGCAGCTGGAATTATGAGAGATGATAAATTACCTGTTAAAACAAATAAATAATCAAAAAGTAGCCAGTGACAAAGAGAACTATATCATTTTAAGGGATGAACCAATTATTATCACATCACTAAAGATCATAAATTATGTACTTATACAATGAATTGATTTAAAATAAGCTGGTACTTACCAATATGCCCAGAGTTTCCATTAAGAATGGTGATTTGGCGTGATGAGGAGAGCTGTCGAACCTCCATAGCCAATCGACGCACCTACATGATAGCCAATTAGGAGTTCCATTAACCACATAAAAACTATCTGCCAACACCTCTCTAAAAGAAAATATATTTAATCAGAACCTGAGCAGCAATGGCATCAGAGTAGTCAGAATCACCCTCGGATTGCTCCCCAGACTTCTCTAAGCCCTTAACCAAGGTCTGTAAGCACGGCAATAGAAAATGTAGTCATTCATACGGAAATAAAACCAATTTTAACAACGCTGTGATGAGCCCAGTTTTCACTTTAACTTGATCGAGACAAACTTATGAGACACCCACCTTTTCTGGTAAGTAAAATATTGAACTTCACCGTAAATAAATGATGATGGTTATAATTCGAAAACAGGCTTAACGAACGTTTTGTCAACAATTGGAGAACAATTCAAGAGCGTCTTAAAAGACCGAAAGTGTGGAAACCTTTAGAGAAGCCAACTAAAAATATTCCAACTACCACGCATCATAGGAGCTAATTAAAAGCAGGAAAAAAATAGCCCAAAAAAGAAAAATGGACACCTGAAGTTCACCCAACACATCCGACATTTTACCATTCTTAAGCAGGATCGTACTAGTGTAGCCTGTAAAAATAAACACAATTGAAAAATTAACAACAGTGATGTACTCCCAAAAAAATTGGCTTTAAAGCATGTAAACTGCCTGATCGTATAAATTTACGAGATCAAAGATAGTCGAAAATACCAGCTCCAACCAGGATCAGGATCTTGGAAAGCCCTACTCCAGTCTGCAAAGCCATACTGGTGCTTGGCAAATCGGAAACCCTAGAGGGGAGAATTGGGGGAGAAGGAGGACAGAATGAAGTCCGGCTTGGAAATCCGGATTACTGTGTTTAACTATAGCTGGGTTGACGATGAGAAGAAACGACGACGTTGGATGTACTAAAAAATAAAAAATAAAAAGAATATATAAAATTACCAACAATTGTTTGTTTGAGTATAATAAAATTAACAAGAATTAACAATGGTTCAAGATAATGGAACTAAAGATTTTTATTTTATTGATCACACAAATGAAAGAGAAAATAGGAATTTTATTAATATAGCTTTTTAATTATAATTTGTAAATTAAAAATTAAAGAATTTTTAATTTGGTTGATCACACAAATGGAGAGAAAATAAGAATTTTAGTAATATAGCGTTTTTATTATAATTTGTTAATTAAAAATTAAAAATTGATGATATCTCTTGGAAATCTGACTTAGGGGCTGCGCAAACTCCACATGGCCGCACCTTTCTCCAAGGGTATGGTCGCGCCATAGCACCCACTCCATGGGCGTGACACCCATGGGCTGCACCAACACCCATGGGCTGCACCTCATGATGCAACCCACCCCACCGTTGCAGCTATTGTGGTTGTGACTCCTCTGCCCAGGGTCGCTTGTACGGCCTATGCATTGGCTTAACTCACGCAACCACCGCAACCCCTTGTCCATGTGCGATGGTGGTATCTCCCCTGCAAACTTGCTCTCCAAGTTTACTCGAAGAAAAAGTCAAAATACTTCTATAAATACCAGGGTCCCAACCAATAAGAGGAATATAATTCACCCCTCTCAACATTATGAGATTGAATCGATTTCTCTATTTTCAATCATACTGACTTAAGAATTCAAGTGCATGCTGACAAATGTCAGTATTAGCTCACCCTTTATTTGTATAGATCATCATTGTACGAGTCAATAATCCGTCTTTCCCCTATTCACAATCCACTGTAAATAAAATTTCAATATGGGCCTTGATTGTCCAGCCCATATGACATTATCAGGTTGATGGCCCACTTGCATCCTAACCGGAGGAGAGAGAGAGAAGCGCTGAGTCGCGGACCATTTCAATGCTGAATTAACGAAGTGGCAGCTGAAGGAGACATATTCATACACGTGGCAGGAAGTTGGGATATTTGCGATAAATCATGAACAACAGTTAGACAAGAGAGCGAACAAAAAACTCTTCTGAATCTAATTACCGAATTCATTTGATGATTAGCAGAACAAAGCGTAAGAACCCTTCGAAGCTCATCCTTTGAGGTAGGTATAATATGGTTTTCTAAACATTTCGATCACAAGATCAGGCTGGAGGCGACCCTTTTGGTAAGAATCTCTCACAGTTTCATGAACTTTAGTTACCAGAACCAATAATCATATCATTGGTTGGGTTTCTGTGGGAATCCTAAATTTGTATTCTGTATAAAATATGTCCCAAGTCTAATTTTAAATTTATATATATATTATCTTTTAGCAAAAGGTTCGAGTGAAAACTTCAAACCTTGCAGGAAATAGGATCAAAACCCAGTCCACAACATATGGCACAAGGAAAGGATGTTAAGTATTCTGCATTGTCAAACTGTGAAGCTTACTTTGAGCGCATCCAATCTACGAAGAAACTTCCAAAATCCCTACAGGAGACATTGAATGATGCATTTGCAAGGATCCCAGTTTCATCGTTTCCTGGAGTTCCGGCAGGCAGAGGTAATAGTGACTACCAATAGCTTCTACGACATCAGAATTTCATTCGTATGTTTATGCATAAAAAAAAAAAAGAATGTTACTTTTTGCAGTTATTGAGATTCCAGCAGACACAACTATTGCTAATGCTGTAAAGATTCTATCTGAGTGCAACATTTTATCAGCTCCTGTAACAAATCCAAATGCAAGAGCAAGTATGGATTGGAGAGATAGGTACCTTGGAATTGTAGATTATTCAGCAATTATCTTGTGGGTGTTGGAGAGTGCAGAGGTCGCCGCAGCTGCTTTATCAGCTGGTTCAGCAACTGCTGTTGGAGTTGGCGCGGGAGCGGTTGGTGCTATTGGAGCATTGGCATTAGGTGCGACAGGGCCGGTTGCAGTTGCAGGGATAGCGGCAGCTGCGGTTGGAGCTGCTGTGGCTGGTGGAGTTGCTGCCGACAAAGGAATGGGTAAGGATGCCCCCACAGCTGCTGATAATTTAGGCGAGGATTTTTACAAAGTTTTACTGCGAGAAGAACCATTCAGATCAACAACGGTAAGCTCTTAAACTATGCCAATAGGGTAACTTTTATTGCTCATGTTCACATTAACAAAACTACTACTTCATTTGTTGTCATTTTCCATCTTGTCTTTCATATACTTGTCACATTGTTGTACATGGTGCGACCATGTTCCCAAAAAAAATGCCAGAGAGTACTACTTGGAAATAGAATCGGCTATCTGCAGGAATTTTGAAAGAACTGATAGCCAACACTTCGATGTTACAGGTCCAGTCAATATTGAAATCCTATCGCTGGGCTCCATTCCTTCCAGTGGCTCTAGATAATTCCATGTTGAGCGTCTTACTGCTACTCTCAAAATATAGATTAAGGAATGTACCTGTAATCGAACCAGGAAAACCCGACATCAAGAATTATATAACTCAATCTGCAGTAGTTCAGGGTCTTGAAAGGTGTAGAGGAAGGGACTGGTTTGACTGTATAGCTGCAAGACCTATTTCGGATTTGGGACTTCCATTCATGTCTTGTAACGAGGTAAGTATTTGTTATGGTTGCTTAAGATTTATTGACTTTTTCAACTTTAATTGCTCTTTCTCTTTCTGGTCAGGTTATAAGCATCCAGAGCAGAGAGTTAATACTGGAAGCTTTCAAGCAAATGAGAGATAATCGTATTGGTGGTCTTCCAGTTGTCGAGGGGCCAAATAAAAGGATTGTGGGAAATATAAGTATAAGAGACATAAGACATTTACTGCTTAAACCTGAACTTTTCTCCAATTTCAGGTAGGATGAAAGGCATAACTTCTCTTTATGCATGTTGAATTACGTTTTATCCCCATACTTGACCTTCTACTGTGGATTATTCTAGTATCTGAAAACTAAAAATATCAATAAACATGGTTAGAAGAAACATATTTGGAAAGGATTGCAAAGAAATTATGATATAAACTAATGCCACAGAGAAGTAATGGACTTGCTTTTATGGCTCGTATGGGCTAATTCCATCTTCCTTCTCTATATCAAATGTGTTTAAGCTCTAAAAGCCTGTTTCTTTGTTAATCTTTTATGTTTTTTGTCGTTTGATTCCAGGAAGCTTACTGTTATGGATTTCATCAACACAGTTGTTACGTTGACCCAAGATGTTGGAAAACTTGCCCCACCAATTACATGCAAACTGGATTCAACTCTTGGCTCTGTTATCCATAGTCTTGCTTCCAGGTCAGTTCACAGGATCTATGTGGTAACTGGTGATGATGAAGTTGTTGGGGTCATCACCCTAAGGGATGTGATCTCATGCTTCATTTTTGAACCGCCCAACTATATAATCAACAACTTTGGATTCTCTGCGGAAGAAATGTTGAATCAGTGACATTTCTAAGTTTTCCTTAACGTATGACAGATGTGTAAGATGTAAAAGAGTTACGAAATCTGGTTCAATATCGAAAGTACACTAATTACTCTGCTTATGTACTTACTTTTAGGTCATTCGATTGAACTAATGCCAGATAGCTTTCTCAATCCTTTATCATTCATCATTTCTCTAACCCTTTCAACATCTCTCCACCTTCCAAGCTCGGCATATATATTGGATAATATAGAAAATGGAAGTGGGTTCTTCGGCTCTAATTCTGAAATTCTTAAAGCCATTTCTTCACCTAGTTTAGAATCGTTGTGCAAACTACAAGCACCAAGCAAAGAAGCAAGAGAAGATATAGAAGGCTCTGGTAGTTCTTCCAACAATTTTCGAGCTTTTCCCAACTGGCCGGCTCTACCCAAAAGGTCGATCATGCAGCTACAATGGTCACGGTATGGCTGCAGACCGTATTGCTTGTTCATCATCCTGAAAAGTTGCCAACCTTTTTCAACCTGACCAGAGTGACTGCAAATAGACAAGAGACTAGTAAATGTGGCCGCATTTGGGCGTACGTTTTCTTCCAGCATCCGATCAAAGATATCAAACGCACATGTGTTCTCTCCATTTCTTCCATAACCTGATATCATAGTGTTCCAAAATATTGTATCTTTTGGTTTTGGGTCAAATTGATCAAAGAGTCTCCGTGCCCAAGAAAAATTCCCACACTTCATGTACGTGTCAATAAGCGCTGTGGCAAGAAACATGTCTAGATGAATGACTCTTTTAGTTGTTTGGGCATGGATCTCTTTACCATGCCGCAATGCGGACAAATCTGCACAAATGGATAAAAGACTGGTGAGAGATTTTATACTCGGGACTGCGCCAGCTGATTGCATTCTATGAAAGTATTTGAAGGCCTCGACCGGCCTTCCCAGTCGGGCAAAGCCACTAATCATTGAGTTCCAGGTAGCTGAATCTGGTTGCAATTTTTGGAACTCCAATAGTTCAAAAAGTTCCATTGCAATCTCACTCTGACCATTTAACATCATTCCAGCAATAACCGAATTCCAAGTAAACAAGTTGCCGGTCCTTTTCCGTTCTTTGAAAACATTGTATGCCCACTGCCAAGCCCCACATTTAGAATACATGTCCACCAATGCAGTTCCCACCATTACATCATCGTTTTGAATTCTAACAGTGAGTGCATGAACCTGCCTACCAAATCCAAGATCTGAAAGATCAGAACACGCAGAAAGGACAGAAGCCAATGTGACTGAATTCGGTTTACCACATGGGCATTCCATCATGCTCTTAAATACATCCAATACCTTACGAGGCATGTCATTCAGTAGAAGCCCTGAAATATAAGCGTTATAACTCACCACATTTTTGTTCCACATCTCTTGAAATACCTTTGCAGCAAAACCCACTTCTTCACAAGTAAAATACATCGTCAAAAGCGCCGTAGCGACATAGACATCCACTTGAAAACCCAGTTTTGTTGCCCAACAATGTATTTGCATTCCATGAGCAACACGTTCACATCCTGACAGCAAGTTAACAATGGTGATTGAATTAGGCCTTAGCGAACCACTATTCACAATCTCAACCATCCGCAATGCTTCTCCACGTGATCCATTAAATAAAAACCCAGAAATCATCGCATTTAAAGATGCCAAATTTCTGTGGGGCATTTCGTCGAACACCTTCAGAGCATCGTCAAAATGGAGAAGCTTCATATACATATCTGTGAGGGCTGTGGCTGCATAGACGTCTGCTATAAATCCCGTTTTAACCAAATGGGTGTGCAACATTTTGCCTTGTGGAACAAAGTTAAGCTTTGCGCATGCTTTGAAGAGAGGAGGGAAAAGGAATTTGTGAGGACGGAGGGAGGCCGAGTGATGCTGTGAGTAAATAGAGAGTGCTTCGATATAAAGTCCGCTTGCCACCAATCGCACTATTTCGCGCTTCATGGGGTTTGGTCGGAGCGCCAGCGATCGAGCTTATACCAAGCGATTGTGAAGTTTAAGTTAGAACGGTCGTCTGGGTTGGTTAGTGTTTTGTTTTAAAAAATTAGACCTGTAAAAATTGCTTAAAATTCTGACGAGTATGGCTGATAGAAATAATAATGTTTAGTTTCAAACTTAATTTAATTCAAGGATTCAATAATTGTATACATGTATACTTATTAGATGAAATCAAAAGTTAACCTAACTTAACCATAATTGACATTTATTTTCAATAGTAGGTCGTGAGTTAATTCACATTCCATAKGTTGAAACTAAGGATTCCATTTTTTTTATGGGACCCATCTAAAATCCAAGAATATGTTATCGTCTGAAATTACTTTTTCGTCCGAAGACTCAAAATCAAAATCTTCAATTTCAAATTTTTTTATAAATTGCTAACTAATTTAAGAAATCAAAATCTTCTAAAGCTGACCCAATTCGCACCTGACAAATGACCCACTTTACAAAACTACATACTTATCATCAATTTTATTTTAGTAAATTTTTTGTCTGTCTTAACCATTTGAGCTATGTTCGGTTTGACAACAATCAAACGTTATTAGCATATCTAATGCTCAAAATTTAATTCCGTATGAAAAGTGGGGCGAGCTTTATTGTTAAGCTAGAGACTACTGTTTTTTTAAGTTGATTAAGATCATTCCTCAATAAAGTTAAAAACACACACACTTAATTCCTATTTTTGTTAGAGTAACAATTTAGTTATTGTACCTTAAAATTGATAATAATTGAGTCGTTGTAACAATTTAGTGCTCAAATTTAAAATTTGTAACAGTTTAGTTTATATTTTGAAAAAAACTCGTCAAAATACTTTATAGTTTATAAACACATTTGACCCCTTTTCATTTTAAGATCGACGTATGACAAAAAATCCATTAAATCTTTACAACAAATTTTACAACAGAGACTATATTGTTACAAGTTTTGAATTACAAAACTAAATTATTATATGTTAARGTTTAATTCAAATTTAGGGACTAGATTTTTACAAGTACACGAATTAAATCACTATGAATGGCGGTAAAAAAATCATTGTGAATTATGTATTTGTACTAAATCATTATGAACTATAAACTAAAATTTATGAATGGCAACAACCTTCGACTCCTTCGGATTTAGAATTTCGAAATATATATCTAAACAATAAATAATAAAAGTAACTTTTTTTTTTTGGTTTGAACAAAAAAGTAACTAAATGTAGAAGTATCGTGGCTACAGAAAATAAGTACAAAAATTTAATGACAAAAATAAAACTTAACCCCAATAATAATAATAATAGTGTTTTTTCTTTCAAAGATAATAAATAATAGCATTTTATTCCAAATTCGAGTATAGTTCGATAAATACATTTATTTGTTTTATTAAGATCTCTACCATCTATATTTGTTCTATTGAAAAAAATATTTTATTTCGATTTTTTTAAAGACTATATATATATATATATATATTTGGTTGATAAATTCATATGATGGTAAAAATTGAAGATACATTATAATTTCAACCTGTCTTGCTGGTAGCTATACTGCTTGGACATTCCATTTTTGGGAGGATGGGTTTGATGAATACATATATAAGAAAATTTAATGTTAATAGGTATCGTTTTGTTTAATTAATTAATTAATTTTTTTAAATACCACGATCGGTAAAAGTGGGAATTTGAATCTATCACCTCATAGTTAAAAATAAATATCTTAATTAATTGAACGAAATCGAACAATAATTATTTTAATTTAATAATTGTAGGACGAGGGACCGATGATCAAATTTTTAAGTGATATTAAAAATGCTTCCTCTACCTAAATTACGTTGGGATTGACTTGTATCGCATGTGCTCGAAAGAAAGAAAGAAATATCAGTAAGGTTTATAAAGTGAAAAATTCAAAATAACTCATCGAGAGAGATTGTTTCATAAAGTGGAAGGAAGAAGAATATTCTAGAAAAGCGACAATTGCGTAAAAAGTACGGTGACCAACGAATGAAATGAAAATATCCCATTAATTAATAATACACCTCCAAAAGAAAAAAAGAAAAAATATATTGGGTTAATACACTCAATAGCCGGCCGAATAGCGAATACGARCTGCAAAATTACCGTTGTACTAAAATAAAAACATACAAAATACAAAATTACAGCGCACGGCAGATCGACACGTGGTAAACCATTTTCCTCTATAATATATCTTCTATTTTCTTTTTAATCCTTGTATTTTTTTTTAATAATTTTTTTGTTGTTAAATTTGATTTGAAATGCAATATAAGCATGACTTGGGTTACCTCTTTTGTTCTTTCTGCCTCTGATCGTGTTTTGGTCACCGGGGAAATCTCTCGTCGATGAGTCCTTCTCGTTAAACTGGTAGAGAATAGAAATTGGGATATTTCTTTGATTTCGTTTCTGAATCCATCAAGATCAGCGAAGGTTCTCGCCGCGCTAGGTTACGGGTAAGGGATTTCGATCATCTCAATTGTTTGAGTTATTGTCTTGTTTTTGGTCTTTTTTTGATCTTCGCTCCGATTTGCGGATCGCGGTGGTGATGTCGACTTTTGTTTTCGACGTAATTAACGTGGTTGTCGTGTGGATGTATCCCTACTGAGGTGTCAAAGACTTGTTCTCCCTAATTTCTTTCGTAAATCTGCTTGCCTGACCAGCAGTTTTGGATAGAGATCTAGGGGTTTTGCAGGGGAGGGTACGGGAAAGGATTTGTTGACGTGCCTTTAAGTTTTGTCGAGGCACGGCTTGGTAATAGCCAGTATTTAGCTTTTCTGATTGAATTCAATTCTGTGTCAAGGATGTTTCTTTGTGGGTTTGCTCTGTAAATTAAATTAAACGGTATCACATCCTCCTCCATCCATTTGGTCCATGTCGACGTAAGCTCTAGACTTACGGTTTAAACATGCAATTTTAATTCACTTGATGAAACGCCCTTGAAGTGGTCCATTGCCCTTGGTCGTTATGGTGGGTATCATGGAAGACCGTGGGCGCCCCCTTCTCATTTGACTAAACTTGTTTATTGTTCTTCATCGAAATTTCACTTGGTCGAATATTGATATTTTGAACCCTCGAACGGTATATTTTCATGTTTGGATTGAGGATTTTTCTTTTTCTTCATTAGCCATGTGCGTGTTCAAGAAAGTGAACTTAAGATTTTTGTCTTGATTTCTCTTTCAGCCGGTGAGGATGTCTACTCCTGCAAGGAAGAGACTGATGAGAGATTTCAAGAGGTTGCAACAAGATCCGCCTGCCGGCATCAGTGGTGCTCCTCAAGACAATAATATCATGCTATGGAATGCTGTTATATTTGGGTACGCTGGGGAAATAAATTACTACCGTGGTTTTTTTTTAAAAAAAAATCAGAATTTTCATACATATCCATAATTGCTTCTGTTACTAACTGATGCTATGGTCTTTTACTTTTTTTCCGTTGGCTTCTGCAGGCCAGATGATACACCTTGGGATGGAGGTATTCTCAATTTCTGGCTGGGGCTAATTGCTAAAATGACTTATTAGGATGATGAAAATGTTGTGATCAGGATCAAGTCTTCTAACGATTTATTTATTTCTTATTTGATGATTTCACTTCGTTTTTCTGTCCAAAACTATAATTAATGATGATGCATTTTTACTGCACATAAAAGCATTTTCACTTCTACCAATTATGTAGAGATATGTTTTGGCTGTATAGCTATTAGCCTAGTAGGGTTAAATTAATTTGCCAATTTTAAAATTATCTGGCGCTGATATGCATAATATTTTATATTTTTATGTTTCTTGGTCTTCTTTGTAAGCTCGTTCCACTAATGGATATGGGGTGTGTGTTGCATTTTTTGGTGGAAAGCTTGAGAATCATTAGAACTTGCTAAATTCTGATGGGTATGGGGCTGTGCCTTGTGTTTCCTTGTTGAATTGTTATCTGGTGGAAAAATACTTTAGAACTTTAAATGCGAAATATCAAGTTGCTTTCATCTTCTGGTGCAAATTATGGGTATGTACTCTGAAGGATCCATGCATTCCGCAGTTCTTTTATAAACGTGTGTGTGATTATATTGTAGGGGATAATAGCATCTTGTTTAATTTTCTTAAAATTTTAATTAATTTTGTATTTAATCTTTGTAGTTTTCGTAAGTATACTTATTTGTGAATCTCTCATGTAGTTTATGATTTGTAATTTGGTTACTCCTTTTCTGAGTTTACCAGGTACGTTTAAGCTGACCCTTCAGTTTACTGAGGATTATCCAAACAAGCCACCGACAGTCCGCTTTGTGTCTAGAATGTTCCACCCTAATAGTAAGTTAACATTCTCAAGGAATATGCCTTTTGTAAACATTTAATACTTTATGTGATTCATTCTTGGTCAATTTGAGGGCTTTTTGTAATCTCCGAGGATGCCTAGTTCTCCCGTACGTTCTTGGTCCTACTACTTCTTGTCAACACAATGTTGCTTATTGTGTATGTTTTTATGTTGTGCTGAGCTAATTTTCTTTTGCTAGCAAATGAAAAAAGAAAAAAACATCTGCCAACACTAGTGTGTGCTCTTTTATGAGCTGTATGTGCTATGTTTGATATGTGTATGGTATGCTTGGCATGGGCATGGGTATTTTAATGAGTGAAAAGCAAGAGAATGAGTACAAATATCTGTAAAATGAGGAAGTACATGCTCATCTTAGGTTGCTATGTAAGTTGTGACAATTTTGTTTTTTAATTTTTTCCGTAATGTTGCTAAGCCTTCACTTTTTGTGCTCATTTGCCTTTTCCCATCGCCTTCAGTTTATGCTGATGGAAGCATTTGTTTGGACATTCTGCAAAATCAGTGGAGCCCAATCTATGATGTAGCAGCTATACTCACCTCTATCCAGGTACCACATAATCAATTTGGCCTTAGTGCATGTGAAGGCTGAAAATTTTTCTTCCTGTATGATTATCAATAGCCTCTTTTTATTATTTTTTTGGGTACAAACGAAAAGCATGTAATCATAGTCACTGAAAGAAACCTGGTAGTGCTTTTCTGTACTATGCCCTACGTAAGAAGTAGAATGCATATGGTTCACGTGTCCTCAGGATTCTTAAAGTATCATATTTATGGAACTGGCTGTGTTAGCAAGCAGTTAGTAATGAATCTGCCCTCCCAACTGATCCATGTCATAAATGCCCCATTCTTTTAGTTTTTGTTCTTGATTCCAGAATTCGTGATAAATTACAGGTTTGATTCACTCACTCTTTGTGTGTGTGTGTCTCTCTTTTTTTGTCCCCTAATAAATTACTAGGAAGTTAAAAGGACTGGACGAATGTTAACTTGACTGATAATCTAATTGGAATTTCACCTACTAAGGAAATTGCAGACGTTATCGTTAATCTATATTTTTATTTTAGTCATGCATATTCATAATGTTCAGCACAAGTATTACTGCCCACCAAGAAAAGGGAAGAAATTAAGGGAAGCGTGGAGACGAAATATCTGACGAGTGACGATTATACGCCGTGTTATGGAGAGTGTAAAAATATTGACAAAATTAGACAAATGACCTTTAGGATTCAAAATGTTAAATGGCTCCCTCATGCTTTTCCTTGGTTTTCAAACCCACTTTTCTCTTCATCTGTTTCTAATACCGTTCCTGTTTTCAATTGCAGTCGTTACTGTGCGACCCCAATCCAAACTCTCCTGCTAACTCTGAAGCTGCTAGGATGTTCAGCGAGAACAAGCGTGAGTACAACAGGAGAGTACGTGAAATCGTGGAACAGAGTTGGACTGCTGATTAGCCACAGAATGGTTGTAGGAGAACAGAAAAGATAAGTCGAGTGGCTTGTTTGCATGATATTGTAACTGGGAAGAAAACTGATTTGTTGTGTAATTTGCGTATTATGTGATATGCTTGCTTGGTTTATAAAGATGGAACTACTTTAGTCTATTTCAATCTGACCATCTGGTCTAGTATTTTGCATCTTTCTCACGTGAGTTTTCTTCTATCCTTCAATTCTGGCCTTTGATCGAGGCAAATGCCGTTATATCGATTGAGTTGGAAACTTCAACAGGGTGCTTACACATTTCATACCATGAAGAATTACGGATGATCAAGGGCTAATGTGGAAGTGATGGTAACCTTTCTGTACCAAACTTTATCGCCAACTTAGACAAGGGCTTAGAAAAAGGAAAAATACGAGCTGTATACTTGTAAACTGTAGTTACATTTATTCCCACCCTCAACGGATTGATCTATATGAAAGTTCCGAGGTTTCCTCCACTACTTGTCCATCCTTCTTGAACCTGCATTGAGTACTGCAAATTCCAGATTACATCTTCAATGGAAGGACGCTTGCTTGGATCTTTGCTAAGGCAGTTGATGGCGATTTGAATTGTGGTTTTCAGGGAGTCAAATGCAAAAGAACCCAGAATTGAAGAATCAATAAAGCCCCGTAATTTTAGTCCTTCTGCCAAGCCACTTTCAAGCTGCCACCAAGAGTAGATGGAAGCTATCAGAATGTGAAAGAATCTCTAAAATTGCTACGGCGTAATTTTGATATTATCCATGTCGAATTTGATCTGTTAGAACCAATGTTGATAATTTTTATTTATAAGATACCTCACTCTTCGTATCATCCAATTCACTGGTCTCTGTGACCCGTCTACCAGTGATGACTTGTAGCAGAATGGCACCAAATTGAAAGATATCTTCTTTCTCTGGATTTTCGCTTCTGCATTTTAGAATCTAATTAGATTGTTGGATTGTTGCAAAAAGAATAGTCTAAATAAGAATGGTACCCTTTCGGCAAACGCAGCCCACCCTCATCCTGTAAGATTGAAAACAATCAGTGTTTTTTCAGAAATTAACAAAACTTGCATTTGGCTGAAGTGTATATAAAAACTTGTCCGACCTTAAGCGGCATGAGAATGTTGTAGTTGCTTATTTTTGCAGTCAGCGTCTCGTCTAACAAAATGTTTTCGACCTTGATATCGTTCCCGAAGATGCCAGGCACCATGCCGGTGTGCAGATGTTGTATTCCCCGGGCGATTCCAATGGTAATTCCCATTCTCTGAGGCCATTTCAAAGCCTCCTTCCTTTTCCAATCTGTGTTTGATGGTATACAAAATCAAAACAAGTATTGCAATGCAGGTCACTGATGGGGCTTTTGGGTTTAAACTTAAAAGCTAAATGGAGATGGGTTTGTTCTGTTACCTGTGAGACAATCCTTCAATGAGCCGTTGGATACGTATTCATTCACAACGAAGACAGTGCTGGCTGGGTTTAGATGGTCTTGATTAGTGATGGTGCAGTGTCCAAGAATGCTGACCAAATGCCGATGCCTCAGATTTTGCAATTCTTCAATGTGCCGCGCTAAGGTTTGAGGTTGAAGTTTTTGCTTTAGTTTGAAGCATTTGATCAGGACCACTGAACCATCAGTCAACCACCCTTTATATATCTGCAGGAATTGGACAGAAAACTTTTAATGGAAATAACTTTTCCTCGAGATATTCGCAGAGTCAAAATTTTGAACCGATTATTCACCTCTGCTTGGAACCCTTCAGAGGCCAAGCTTGATGGGTTGAAGTTTTTTGTGGCCTCATCGATCTCTTCCAATGTGAAGACCCGATAAGGCGGCAGCCCAAGTGCTGGTAACCTTGTCTGGGGCACACGTCCTGTGTAGAATCAAATTAACAAGAAGAAAATCATAATTTGATTTAGGTGAAAGAAAACTAAAAGGAGAACAGTGTCGGCTTTTACTGTTAGGCAGTGGAGAGCCAAGTTTATCAGCGGCAGATTTCTCATATTTGTTCTCTTCAAGTCGTCGTCTTCTTATTTTTCGGATGATTGCACAAACCAATAACAGAACAACACCTGACATTCCTACTACGCCTCCAATGAGGGCAAGCGTGAGACCCAATTTGTTGCTAAGTTTCTGTTTCTGGAGGTCACCTGGAGGCTTCACAGCCATTGCTTCCTTATGGCAGTAGGAATCAGAGTGCTGGTACTTCGAGTTTCCACTTGACATGCAGTTCCATGAAATATTCACCGTCCGACTCGGCGAATTTGATCCGATGCAAGAAGGTAATTTCCCTATCAAGAGGTTGTGTGAAATGTCTACAAAGTTGAGGTTTTTGTTGCAAGTTGTGTTAACAGAGAGTGCCCCACTTAATTGGTTATAAGCTAGGTTGAGGTACTGAATTGCAGGTAGAGAGAAAAGAGAGGAATGGATTGGCCCAAGAAATTTGTTAAAGGAAATATCTAGTAGCTGAAGCTTATTGAGTTCCATGATTCTGGAAGGGATTTCAGATCTGAAGAAGTTTTTTCTTAGTATGATGATCACAAGAGTTTCACCCAGAGGAGGAACTTTTTGTCCCAGTTGATTTTGTCCTAAATTGAGCTCTTCAAGAATTGCAAGGCTTCTAAGATCTGGGACACTTCCACTGAGCAAATTGTCAGCCAAAACAAGGCTCTTGAGGCTTTGAAGTTTTGAGATTGTTGGTGGAATGTCTCCATAGATGAAATTTGAGCTTATATTAAGCACTTGCAGAGATGAGAGCCTGTTGATTTTAGAAGGCAAAGGACCCCACAATCCCAAAGATACTAATGATAAGACTTTCAAGTTTGAAAGCTTGGTGAGAACAGTGAAGAAGGAATCAATAGAGAAGCTTTTGGATAGAGTCTGCTGGGAAGGGATGGAACTTACAGGGGCGGATTTTGGGGTTTTTGAAGGAGAGCTTTTGTTTCCAATGACAGTTAATTCTGTTATGTGAGTACCAGAACAGACAATTCTAAGTGAAGAAGGAGGTAAATAGCAGAAGTTTGTCCAGTTTGACCATCCTTGAAGAGCAACAGGATATTCCAAAATCTTTTGAATTTGGAAGAGAATTCTGGTTTCACTTGGAGAAAGTTGTCCAGTTGCAACTGGAACAAGAACAGCTAAAACAAAAGCAGGAAACAAAAGACAGAAAGAAACCCAGGAATTCTTCATGTTTTTGGAACTCAAAACTGAGCTAAACCCCATCAGAAAAGCATGCAAGGAGAAAGATTTTTGCTTCTAATCAAACAGAAACTGATGAGATAGATCAAAGGTACGAAAGAGGAAAAGAAAGAAACAAAATTTTATGTGCTTTCTGCAACTACTTTTACATGTGGGAGAAGGGGAATTTGGGAACAGGGAAAAGCAGAAGCAGCCATTGTTTGTAAGAGAATCATCAGAGGAGATCTGAAAAGAAATAGAAGGAATTCCAGAGTGAGTGAAGCACCTTTTCCAAGGCATTTCCAACAGTCAAAAAACTCAAAAGAAGAGATTAAAGAAATCCCAATCATGTGCTACCCAAGCCACAATATAAAATTGAACTCGAGCTGCTCTGCCGCACTTCCCTCTGACTTTTCTCCCATCAGAGTGTGCAGTAAAGTCAACTATGCTCCATCCAGTGGCCAGCTCCTGATGTTTGACCAAACTAGCTACAGTGGACTCGCGAGTCTGCCTCACAATCTCACGCGTCTTAGGCACGTGGTCTTGTGAATGCTTCCTATTTTAAAAATATGGCACAGTGAAATCCGGATTAGAGATTCTCAAAACCAGAATAGAAAATGAAACACAATGGCTATTAGTCAATATGAAACGAAACCAGAGGGGCCTGAGAAGGTTTTGATGGACTTACCATAATATCCTTGGTGATTTGAAACGTTTGTAGCTTTGTCGGTCGAAGGTGACTGAAAGTGAGTGAGAATTGCCCTTGAAGCCAGGGGAATCTTCCAACTTGTAGTTTATTGCGATTGGATTAGTTACACCTAATCCATCTTTTTTCTTTTTCGTTTTCATAATCATTATTATATTGCAAGAGGAAGCAGCCAGCTTTTCCAGCTCAATATTTGTATTTTTGCTAATTGTAGCCGTATTTCTTGGTACCAGAAATCAAGGATCAAGATGGTAATATTTGTATTAATTTGGTGAGGAATTCTACTTACCACATGAAACTGATTAAAAAAGCACAGTAGTTTGCGCCAAATTGTATCCATGCCCTAAATAAAGATACATCCATAACTCACTGCGATTCCTCCATAAACGGTAACTCCGGTGTTACGGGACCAGATAATTTCTCCATTTTCCTGGTCCATGGCGTATATCGGACCATTTGGAGCGACGGAACCGGCGAAAAGGACGCCGTTGGCCACCGACACGGGCGCATTGGCTGTTTCATTGCCAGAGTTCACCATCGAGCCGAGGATTCTGCCGGTGTCGGCGGCCAGCGCCACTCAGCCGCTCCAGGTGGCTGGTAAGACGGCGCGAGGGTGAAGCGCGGTTGCGTGGGCTCCATTTTGGAACTGTTCTGGTTCTCTGTTTCAAAAGTTTAAGCTCTATTATTTACGTTTCTAAAAAGTTTTTAAGACAAATTTTAAAAACTAAAAAAGACAGAAAGATAGAGGTASTTTAAAATTTTAAAATTTGACTAATAATATGAATAGGTTTTTAAAAAAAGATAAAAAAAATCTACCAAATAAATGAAATTAAACATAATTTTTAAAATATAAAACTGAAAACCAAATCATATATTTTCTTTTGCTTAAATCTCTTAGCTTGAACTTCAAGATTATTTACTCTGGATCTAAAAAAAAAACATTTTAAAAGTTCACATAAAAATAATTAGTTTTTGATTAAATTATAATTAATCTCTAGACTTTTAAGAGTTGTGTTTAATAAGTTTTATTTTTGTCCAATAAATCTATGAATCTATTAATTTTATGTCCAATATGTCTCCAATTTATGAGATATTCTTAAAACCCCACCATCTATTAAAACAAAATTGAATTTGATCCAATAGAACTCCAACCAAAGTTTTCAATTTTGTGTACAATAAATATGAAAATTTCAACAAATATTTAATAGATTAAGAATCCACAAAATTAAAAGTTTACTAATTTGTTAGGCATCTTTTAAATTTTAACAATTTATTAGATACAAAATTAAAAGAGCATATGATGTGTTAGTTGTTAACATGGTATTAGTGTCTTGACCCATAGACCAAGATTAAACTGAAGTGAATGTACGGTCCAATGCACCGGTTTGGGTTGGGATTTATATCTTCAAACGGAAAAAAAGAAAGAGAGAAAATTAAGGATGGAAAAAAAAAACTGCTTAATTAGAAACTAATTATTGAACGAGGCTGGAATAATATATATGCTTAATAGTAATGGTTTTACCTTGGAATCTACGAGAGAAAAGTTACAAAAGCATATTAGGAGCTGGCCACACATGCAATTTTTTGCGTTTTTGGATTATTAATATTAGTCACTATTAGATTAGTATAGTGGAATTGGGAAATTTCATGTGGTGAATGGAATTGAAATTGATTTCTTATATCAAGTTAAAATAATAGGAAGTTAATATGTATAAAAAAGTTACGAAAATTTATGTCCAACAATATTATACTATTATAAAATATAGAGGCCAATTCATCCAAAAGTAGGAGAACCATAATTTTCTTGAAAACGAACACAAATTAATTTAATAAAACATTTGCCTCGTACTTTGATACTCCTACTTTTTATTTATTTATTTTTTTATTTTTGGATAAAATGATATACTACAAGAATTTATCATTTTGTCGATGCTAATGTTGGAAAAACTAATAAAAATATTAGGAAATCTCAAACGTAAAATTGTGTAGGTGGAGATCCGTTGAGAAAGTTGCCTCTCGATGAATTTATACCAAACGTCGGGATAGCTTGCTTTATATCGATATTTTTGAAAACGTCGGAAAAACGAACCTCTCCGTACAACTACTTTCTTATTGTATTGTTCTCTTTTTATTTTATTTAAAACATAAATAGATTACAGAATATTTTTTTATCTAACTAAAAATATAGTCATATAAAAAATTTTCTAATGAGAATAATCGGATAAGAAATTTATTATCCAATAGTCGAAACTTGGTCTCCACCCAACATTTATGTTGAACTTAAAAAGAAAAATAAGAGGAGAAATTAGTGGCGACAAAGAAATTTATTTTCCCAATTTTAAAGTAGTTATTTAATTTTCAAATTAATTATATAGCTATTTTAATTTCTAAATAATCAAGACTTTGAAGAAGGAGCAAATTAAATAAATGAAAAATAAAAGTGGCTCAATGAAAAAAAAAAACTAAAATATCATGAGGTAAATAGAGGAATTAAAAATGTATTTTATCAAAGATATTGGTATAATGATTAAAATTTGAAATTAAATATAATTAAAGGAAATATGAGAGACATGCATCAAACCCCAATAAAACAAGTCCATATGAAGAAAATGAAGTCTTGCAAATCCTCTCTTCTGCTCTTGTAGCCTAAACTGTGAGATGTCACCTAGAGTTCCCCCAAACACTTCAGTGGGACTTCCAAGAGTTTGGGAAATTGGCCCAATGAAGTGGTCAAGGGAACTCAAGGGGGCACCTAACTTTCTCTTCCATCAACACACAAGATTTTCTTGGTAACCAAACACATTGCAGCCCTACATTTATACAGCAAACCAGCCCCATGTCCTCTGAACAAATTTTGCATATCAACAAATATCACAGCACAAAGATGAACCTGGTCTGAATCATGTACCAAATGAAGGGTTTTGTTTTTGAAGAATGTTATGAGGTGCCACAGTGTCCTTTTCACATTGAATCTTTTTCTTTCTGTGAATCTGTTCTAGGACTCCCACAAAAATCCCACTTGAATTCGAATTTGTTCCAGATCTTATATATATATATATATATAAAAGAAACCCCACAAAATCATCTGGCATTATTTGATTTTGATTTGGTTCGACTCGATTTAGGATATATAGTGTTGGAAAGTAAAATATATAGCATGTCATGTGAACCGAAGACATTGGTCCACAACTAGCCTAATGGCACCGATATGGGAAGTTCAGTTGAGAGCACTACTTAGAGTCCCAAATAAGGCACTTAGCTCGTCTCACTAGAGTTGAGAACCCAAGTGCATTAATGTAGAACAATTTGAAACTACATAACAACCCTACTAACGAGTGGCTGGTGTAATATAATGACCCTCCTACTCTCCTATAAATATGTCATTCTGTTCAAATGATGCAACTCTGTTTGGAGCAAATCCATTAACTAAGACTTTAATTTAAAACGATTTGAGTATCGGAGTATTTGTTCATTGCGTGCAAGTCTTCTTCATAGTTCGCTTTGCACAACTTTGATCAATTAGCTCGTTGTGATCTTGGATCATCGGAAATCAGTATTAACATATTGAGAGAAATATATGTGGCATCTAGTCGATATGTTATCTTCTTGGCACTTTCAATTCACATCTCTTTAGCTTCTTCTGTATCTTAGGGATCTCTTCGGATAACAAATTAAAAAAAGGAGAAATGCATTTGTGAAAGGATATGACAATTGGCATATACCACAAGAAGAGTCCATACAATATTATATTCTCTTTTGTTTGCCTCCAATTTAACACCACAATCCGTCCAGGTTCATCCACCATTTGCTTTTTGCGCCTTTAACTTTGATTCTTCACCAGTGAACTATGAAGCTAGCGCATCCAAAATTGCAGCTCCAAAAAAGGCCTATAAGTAGCCAATACAAGAAGTTTTGGCATTAAGGTCATTTGTGCTTTGCTTATTACAAGGTCATTTGCCTCTTGGAGTTTCCCTGAACGACTTCATTTAGGGGAGATTTTAATAAGACTTTCCTATAATTGAAGTGTTTGGGGGAACTCCTAGTGTCAATTGACCAACCAAATTTCCTTTAATTTTGACTGTGTTTAATTATATTTAGTTGGTTTTCTTCCACAGAGGGAGATTGGGTTTTTTTATTAGTCAAGGAAAAAAAAAGATTTCGATAATAAACATTTCAAGAGATTGTGGTTGAGTTGCCAATGCGAACCCTAGAAACTAAGATTTGAGGAGGAAGAAGCATTAATTAGAGAGTAAGAAACAAATTAAAGTTAGGATACGACTTTCATGCAATTCAAGCAAAAAGGCTCAAATTTGAAAAAAGAAAATGAAAATAAAGAAATGAATTGCCAAAACAAGTTATATATATAATATGTGTAAAAATATGTGTAATTAATTCAAGTCGTAACTTAGATTTTTGTGTAAAATCAACTTGATCGACAAACTTAGGTGTGTTTGAGAATGATTTTGGTCAAATCATTTTTGTCATTGTCAAAATTATTTACTTTCTCTTGATCATGTTCGACAAATTAAAAAATTGATTTTAGAAAATTTTAAAATCTTTAAATTGATTTTTAAGATATCCAGATGATTTTGAAAAATCAATTATACTTAAATCTATTTTTTTTCAAAATCACTCATTCTACTGTATGATATTGCAACAGTTTTCATATTTGTAAGTAAGGTTTATACACCTGGTAAAATCCAATTATATAAATTTAGATTATAAGTTAATACTAATTTTTTTTCCTTTAAAGGTCGTGGGTTTCAACTTACCCCTCTATATGTAATATTCTGAAAAGAATTTAAAAATCCCTTGACCTCCMACAGACAAAGTTTTAAAATAATCTAGTTTTAAAAATAAATTACAAAAATAATGTTAGTTTAAAAAAAACTACAAAATAAATGTAATTTAAATAAATAAATTCAAAGGTAAGTTATGTTTTCAAAACTATTGACAAAAATAGGTTAGGTTAAAATAAAAGTCAAAACTCGCGTACAATGCTTGCGATTTCCGTGCAAACATGGCAGGTGATTAGTTGGAAGTCGCGTACATTGTACGTGACTTTCACCTTTTTATTTTTATTTTTTTGGAAGTCGCGTACAATCGACTTCTACATTTTTATTTATTTTTTGTTTTATTTTATCTATATATTGTTATTTTATTAATATTGCGAAATTTAATTAAGATGTGATTAAATTTTTTATTTTTTATTTTTTTATTTTTAAATTTGATTAAAATGTCATTTAAAGTCTAAAAGTTTAAACTTATATTAAAACCAATTCG